TTGATAACGATACGTTGTCAAATATGATACGTATATAATATATTAATACTTTCATTTCTAAAAATATAAAATAAGATATGTTTTCAATATGTATACATATATTTACAAAAAATCATAAAAAATTTTAAAAATATAATTTCAATCTATGAAATACCCAAACTAGCATATATTAAATCCTTCACAGTAATATCAAGAAAAATATAATCATTAATTATATTTTTATTCCAACTCTAACTAATTACTTACAACCTAACTTCTGTTAATAGTCCCTTAATTAGGATTTATATGTCAAAAGATTATATTTCTAAATTTTTATAATTAAAAAAATATAACTTTTATTTTTATTATATCTAAAACTTATTTTTTAAAGAAAATATAATTTTTGACATTGAAAGAAAATCAAAAAATATATTTAAAAAATTAATATTGTAATATTTAACAAAATTTAATTTCTTAAAAATAATTTTGAAGTATCACTTTTAAAGTATAAATTCACAATTTAAATGTGTTGGATACGTATTAAAAAATAAAATTTTTTAAAATTTAAAAAATAATATTTTAATACTCTATAAATATATATTGAAGTGTCGGCAAATATTGATATCAGGCATAATTTGAAGTATGGGTGCTTTATAAGCAAATTCACATTAATCCGAATTAAACATTCTGCGTTACTCTACATGATATTATAAGAAATAAAAATATTTTAATAAATAAAATCAACCTCATTCAATCTTAAGTTATGTATTATTTTCTGACTACGTACAGTGCGACCTAACGATAAACGTGGCTGCGGGGACTCGTGGCCTCCCGATAAATGGTTCGTTATTGTTAACGTCAGATGATGGCTGCGAATGGCACAAATGAATGGAAAGGGAATACATAACCTAGAAGAATTTTTTTTAATACTAAAAATTTCTTGATAGTTTCAATATATGAGGATGATTCTAGAAAAAGTTACGTTGTTTCAAGAGAATTTGAATAGATCTATCTTGAAGAAATTTCTGACAGACAAAAAAACCTAGAAAAATACATATTCACAGAAAATTAATGTCAAAAGTGAAGGTAACAGAGACAATTTTTCAAAAAGTTTGGGAGGATGTTTCTAGAATATTAGAATTAGAAAGGACAAATTATATGCAGGTTCACATAATAAAATTAATTACTCTAAAATTTATTTTTAAAGTTTGAAGTAATTAATTCTTTTGCGACGTAATTCTCTCAATCAGAAAAGCCTTCCTCAAGGTCCCCCAGCAAGAGAACTAGAACTTTCCAGTTTCAGAGTGCCAGTTTGCATGCTACAAAAGCACAAACTAAATCACTTGAACGGCAATTTTAGATTTAGTACTTTACTGCTACTTTTGTTGGGACTTTGAGACAACATCTAATCCCCATTCCCATTCCCATGATTATGTTTATGACGGCTAACTAGCTCATCATGCCCTCAAAAGGTTTTTTTTTTTTTCAAAAAAGTGCTAATCTAATTTAATCCTATGTATGTATACTCTTTTCAATCTAAAATATAAAATATTTTTAATTATAATTCAAATATCAATAAAATTCAGTTATATCTTTATTTTTAATTATAAATATAATAAATTTTTCTTTTTGCTCTTTTTCTCAACTATCAATAATAAATTAAATAAGAGAGATAGTATTTTTTTAATGAAGTATTATACATGAGAAAGTGTGAATCTTCTTGTAGACTAATAAAATTTTAGTTATTATGAAGAGTGGAAAAAATGTAATAAATACTAATAAGGTTACATAATGAACTAAGTCAATAAATACAAGAGTGAACTAGAAAAAAAATTTAAAACCTATTAAGTGTTTTATATTTTAAACCAAGATGAGGGAAGAAAAAATGCATTATAATTCAAACAGTAGAGAATATAAACTAATTACGTGACAAAGTCAACATTAAATTCGTGCTTGATTTGCCAGTGGGATGAAACTTGAACCATCGCAATCATGCCAACTCTTCATGATGAATGGGATAACATTGACATCATAGATTATTAGATGCGACGGAACGTCAAGTCGTTTCAGTACTTTATTAGAGACACGCAAAATTAACTTAATCATCAAATCCATTAATAAACTCGTTTGGTCTCCATTTTGCGAGAATTTTAAGTCCTTGTTGAATTGCCAACCTTCTGTTAATCTCACATTTTCTTTTCCTTTCGGAGTTCGTTTAATCAAGCAATCTTTTCATTCGCAGTTACCGTTCGTCCTAGTTTTCCTTTTGTAGTTTTTGTTGTTTAGTAATATTATTTATCTTCATCGAATTAAAAGAAAAAAAGGTGAATTGCCAGCGAAACCTTAAAAAAAAGACTGCAACTAACAAAAATGATGGATGAAAATTGTTACATGAGACTAGTTTAGATGGCAAGGATAGGGTGGGATATGGATGCAAGTTAAGGATTCGAACACTTTCAATATAACAAAAAATGATTGATAAAAATATACCATAAAAAAAATATACACGGATCAAATAAAAGAATGATAAGTGGAGGGCATTGTTTATATTTAATGCCCGATAATGCCTCAAACATAATTACTTTTAATAAAAGAATACTTATAGAAAATAAAGAATGATAAGTAGCAGGAATTGAAATTAAATTTTTCAAGTTAGCACTGACGTGTCTTTACATTCTTTTAATCAAAAGTTCTAAATCGAACACTTGATGACTTACTTCAAAGATGAGAAATTACTGTCATTCATGCCATCATAAGATGGTAATGCAAGTGCTCTTTGTTGGTAGCCTTTTTTAACAATTTTTTGATCGTACCATGTATTTATTTGATTTTGATTATTTACTAAATCAATATTATTGACATCTTAGGCCATTATAAATTTGATCCAATGTCTTGTTTAAATTTGATTCAAGTCTCCTTCTTGCTATAGTCATGATTGGTTTTATTTTATTTTTGATTTTGATTCTGTGATTCATGCTTTAGATCAAGATTGATAAATGTTATAATTAATTTAGACTTCTAAATATGTGGTGTTTAATTTCTAAAGATTATGAGGATCTTGATTTATTTTATTTTGAATTTCAAAATATTTTAATTAATTTATAATATTTAATTTTATTTTAATTTTTACAAAACAAGGTTTATGGACTTGATCCTGAGTCTTTTGAATAAAGGTTTGATCTCAAAGAAAAGGCAAAAAGAAAAAAATTAGGTTTAAAGACTTAGACCTATATAATTGAGTTTGCTCATTCCAAGCTCTAACTGCGAGTTTTTTTTGTTGGTAGCCTTTTTATACAATTTTTTTTTTAATCTTACCATGTATTCATTTGATTTTGATTATTTAGTAAATCAATATTATTCACATAAATAGGTAGAATGAACTTAATTCAAAATTTTTTTTAATCAACAATTCAAATTGTCCATACAAAAGTTCACACGCATCACATGTGATAATGAGATAAAACTTCACTCATTTTTTTTGGGTGTCATTCTCTTTCCTAAAACATAGTATAAATATACAACTATAGAAGATGCGATTTGTTTTTGCAGAGCATGGAAAATTCACTAGCGAGTTGACTATTATTCTTGAATATCGGATGGGCGAGAAAAAACTGCTTTAAACGGAACGAAAGGAATTTACAGTGATCCTCTGAATTGTTTTTTTCTCGCCATGCTGAGGGTATGGTATCTTGCAAGTAAGCCCAATAACAGTATTCAACTTGCTTGTCTCGTGTTTTTTTCGAGTGTTATCAACAATTATTTTCGAAAAAAGAATAAACAATAATAGAATACTAGTTATTTGCTCTTCATACAACCACAGGCGCAAGCACACGATTCTTGATTTAATTCTTGAAAATCTTGCGTTCTAGTTTTTTTTCAAAGGGTCAATTATAAATTTACAACTACACATCCACCAACATTTACAACTACATATATACTAATATTGGCACCATTAAATCACATTCAAAGCAAAAATTGAAAGATAAGGCATTACTCGTATAGTTCAAATGTTGATAAAGGTTATTGTAAATTCGCAGGCATCCCTTGCTGAAGAAAAGATTAAGATAATGAAAAACCATAAATAATCATGAAAGCAGAGCCATTTTCGGCTGAAGATGGCGTCTTCCATCACAAAAGCTTAATTTTGTTTCTCAAATAAATGCCTCCCAAATTTCGCTAAAATCAATTATAAAACCATTTAAACACGACTCCACGCAATCTATCATGTAACAAAGCATGAACATAAATATACAATGGATCCCTTGATCGCCCTGGTTCACATCATATTCCAAATTCTATTTTATTTATTTATTTATCTCTCTTAATAAACACAATGAATTCTGTGGGTTAAAAAAAAGAACACAACGAATTCACTTGCTAAATGCCCCGTAAACCATGGCAAGAACAACAGGAATGAGGCATATCCAAGAGAAAAGGCACAAAAGAAAAGGCAATACCAGGATAATGATTAATGCCTTGAGCAGATAGTTGATTAGTTAGAAGAAAATTTGCAAGGGCAAAGAAACCACAACACAGTGCCTTCATCAGAAAACTGAAACTGATCCACCTCATCTTAATCCTTTTTAATTCTTCAAACCAGTATAATTCTTCATTGGACTGCGTGTACATGAAGCAATCTAATATCATCGAACAGTTCCAAAAGAAACTATTCTACCTAAGCAAAAATTAATGCTGCTAACGCGATGCTAAATTTGACAAATGAGTCTCAATTGTTGATTGTTCATGAAAATACCCTTTGGTTGAAGTTCTTATATATAGTTACAGATTATAGATATCAATCGCTGACTAAAACTAGTTAAGACATTGGTGGGGCAAAGCACTGCATTACAAGGAAAGACCAATCCAATTCAATATACCTTACGAGCATGAGTAAGCGCACAATTTCACAACAACGAGGGCGTAGAATGATTGATTGGTTCAGTCCGCAGAACCGAAGTTCTACACAATTTATTGAGACCCCATGCACATCAACTTCTGAATCAAAACCAAAACCTCGTCCATTTCGCGAATCAACAATAATATATTAAAGTCGAGATCAACCGCAAGAAACTCAGAGAAATGGACATGCATGGGATAAAAGTAAAAAAAAAAAAAACCCAAAGCATTACCTTAGCCCGAGTTCGAATAGAGCAAAAGGTTCAATTTCAATCAATTCAAGAGGAACTACCAACAGAGAGACAAAATTCTAATAAACAGAAAAGTATCCAAAACCTAAGCAGTAAGAACCACAGCCCCACCGGCCTCCTTGATCTTCTTCTCCGCATTCTTGGAAACGAGCTTGGCCTTCACCACGACAGGCTGGTTATCCGGCAAAACTCCTTTACCCAAAACTTTGAAGTACCCATACTGAGTGACATCGATCAAGGGAACATTGTCCTTGGAGGCCTTCTCTTTCACCTCATTAGGAACCAATGACCAGAGCTTATCGATGTTGACGATGGGGCAGTAGAACTTGTTGCGAAGCTTATGGAAGTAGCGCATACCCACTTTCCCGAAGTAACCAGGATGATACTTGTCGAAGAGGATTCTATGGTGGTGCATACCACCAGCATTACCACGACCACCAGGGTGCTTCCTGTGCTTGCCGATGCGACCGTGACCGGCACTCACGTGGCCGCGCTTCTTACGATTCTTCTTGAAGCGGGTTGTCATCTCCGATCTGGCTTCTCTTCGCTTCTCTGAGGTATCCGCGGCACAAGGGTTTGCTGAGTTAGGGTTTCGGGGAATTTATTAGATGGAGGGGTTGGATTATTCTATTTTTAATATTAAAAAAAAATCACCATATTTTGTGATTGGGCCTGAAGCCCTGAACCTTTAAAACACTAAGTGCATTCTTGTGCCAAAGGAAAAAAAAAATGCATTAAGTATTTAAATTTATTTTTAAATCAATATATACTTTAGCTGGTAAAAAAATCAATATATATTTTAAACACATTTTGATACTAAAAATTTATAAATAAATATTAATTCATTTCATAATAAATAGTTATTGAAATATGATTTTATTTTGATACAGTTTTTAATTTTATTAAATAGATGCATAAAAAGAATTAAGAATTAACAACTGAGAATGATAAAAAAGTCAAACAGAAAAAAAGAATGTTAGGTTCCATACATGTATATAAATATTTTTATAAAAAATAAAAAATTAAATTGATTGTTTAATTCTTGAAAGATTATATTTTATTTTTTTTTAATTTACAACCTTCTTTTCAATTTTCATGGTTATTTTATAATTAAGAGATGATCCGACCTGCGGAGATGTTTCCACTAAAAAATGTTGCTTTTCATAATGTTTGAAGTTCTTGCTTTTTTTTTTTTTTTTAATCCACCGGGCAGAATTGGGGGCTTTCCCTTTAGATGGACCATGGTAGTTTTATAAGCATATATAAGCGCACCACTTCGATTGAGAAAACTACATGCCATGAGTCTCATATAAGTGAAATGGAATTTATGAATATGAAGAATTCTTTTACCTGATATGCTAATTTTTTATGATAAACCCTCTCTCTAACACTGTGCTCCTCAACCGTGCAAGATTTATGTTTAACATTCACCTCCATTTTTTGACTGAATAATGTTACGTGAAGCATCTTTGCAGGTGAGTCAATCAGCTATTTGCTTACTTCATTTGAGGCCATCGTTTGGTCCGAAATGGAACGGCAAATGCCAGTCCAACTGTCCAAGCGACAAGAAACAACCTCAACAATAACCTCATGCAGAGGAAATGTTAATAAAATATGTACTCTAAGTCGTTTCAATATATTATATATTTGACTTGATACTAATATACATACAAGAATGTTACCACATGGACTAAACATTATATGAAAGAACCTTGACAAAATATTTTGTATAAATACATCACAAGTTGTGGAATTCAAACTGCACATGTACTTGTGTTTCATCTGTGAAGAACGAGAGCAGCTCCAACGAATCCCAACCATATTGTCAGACCAACCCAGAAAGCTTGATTTTTTTCCAATCCCACCGGTGGCCGCCATACAAGAAAGTCAGCAAGATAGTCCTTAGTTGATGGAAGCTGATTGGTCACCGTCCCACTCCGATTCTTATCCTTGTCCTTGTACTTATCACTCCATGTTCCTGCATAGCTACAGTCATGGTATCCACTAATCAAATTTCTTGAAACTTTGAATTGCTCAAGTTACAAAAGATGGATTGAAGCAGATGAACCATATCTACATGTACTCAGTGATAATGTTCTCAGACAATCCCCTTCTTCTATTGACACCATAGAAGAGTCCTTCAAAGACAGAGATGTTCAGGAACAAAAGTTAAATTGGAAAGGGTAGGTATGAATGCAATACGACGCTACTAATAACATGCGTGTTCAGCAAGCTTAAGCAATTCCAATCCTCAAACTCTAACTGACTATTCAAAATCCTTGAGAATTTGATAATTTCCAACCTTCATTCTTCTCACTAAATGTATAAAGTTTCAATTTTTCAGCTATATCATAACTTACTTCCGGATTGATCAAGTTTTAGAGCAAGTTGCATATTAAAGAAAAGGGATAATAAAGCTTTTAATCTTTAAAGTTTGTTTTAGTTATCAATTTGATTCCTCGAGTTCGATTTTTATTGATTTGATCTCTTAAATTTGCTTTAGTTTTCTATTTGATCCTTAACATTTAACGGGAGTTTCAAGAGGTGACATTGTAAAAATTTGCTGACATGAATAATAGAATATTGATTTTGATAACAATTATAAAGATTAATGACAAAAAAATATAATTTATTTAGGTAGAAAAAAACAGGCTCAAAAACTTTAAAAAACAAAAGAATAAAATATAGAGAACAATTGATAAAAATTAAACTGATTTAAAGGCTAATTTATTCTCATTTAGCTACATATGCATGTCATGTTATTAATATCCTTTACACATGATTAATTTGAGAGTTAATTTATTTTAAAATTAAAAGGACTAGGATGATAATTTTTTAAAATGTAATGACAAGTCGATAAAAATTAAACTTAAGACATCAAATTGAAAACTGACACAAATTTGAGGGTCGAAAGTTTCATTATTCCTACAAAGAACCTATGCCCTTCACAAGCCCAAATGGCTTTCCCATGAGAAGGCACGTGAAGTTATAGAATGCACAATTGTTCAAGGACATTTACTCAACCATGTAAGCTCTGATTTGAAGTTATTTTCACACAAACAGCAATAAATAAGAATAATAGCAATAATTACAATTATGCAAAAATAAGAAGGTAAGCAAGAGTGTCGAAATACCTATCATAACTAGAACCAATCAAAGGTATAGTCACCATCTCCTCTTGGGATATCTTGAGCTTTGGTGCTTGCAAAATGTAGCGAAGATCTGCAGCCTGGCGCCGGATGCTGAGGCTAGGATGTTTCTTCTCTAATTGCTGGTACAGAGCTATGCAATCAGCATGGCGGTTATTGGCCTCATAAGCCATAGCTAGCCATATCTGGATCTGAAATTTACACACTAAATAATATAAAAAATACAACTCACATTGTTTTGCTCACTAAATGAAGAGCATTTCAGCCAGTAACTATGGAGAACGATGATAAGCAACAATCAACTAACCTCACCACCAAACAATGTAGGTCTGGGAATAATCGTAAGTGCACCTTCAAAAAACTCTATGGAACGTCCATACATACCCTTCCCATAAGCTTTCTGACCCAATTCAAACATCAGCTGAGCCGTGGCCCTCCTCTCTGCCTGCTCCTTGGCCACCTAAATCATCAAACCCATAAACAACGAATAAGAGCTGATTCTGGTTTAATTGCTTGATTTTTCTGAAGTCTGATAATCCTAAGATAAACAAATCAAGTAAAATGGAACCTTTTCGAGCTCTTTTCTGACTCTCATCCTCTTCTCTTCCTCCGTCTCTTCCATTCCTTCTCCTTCATCATCGTACATCCGACTCTGCAATTCTTCAGCTTTCTTTTCCAGCTCTCTTCTGTCCTCGAGCTCCTTCAGTCTCATCCGCAATTGTGTCTCCCAATCATAGGACTCCTCGTCAAGCCCGTTCTCGTTGTTCTCTTCATCGCTAGACTCGGCGTCAAAATCAACACCGTTCACCTCTGAATTTGACTTACCACGAGCCACGACTCTGTTCCGAACATCTCCATCGGAGTCAAAACCCTTAGACGTAACAGAAGCACAGTAGGCGTGAGAATCTCTCTTGGACAAGCTCAAAACGACGTCCAAAGCTACCGTTCGAACCTTCCGCTCCAGTATTACACTTCGCGGCGACGCCGCATCTAGCAACAGAGACAAATTCCCCAGACTAATGGCCATGGGATCGAGTAAGAGAAAAGAGAAGAGAAGGAGGGTTGAGAATCAGAGATAATTGGTTCCCCATGAAAAGAGTCAAAAGACTGTCAAGAAGATATTTTGGTGGTGCCAAACGTAAGGACCAAAATGCCCATGAATCTATCTCCAAGGATTCAAAAAGTTTGAGACTTGTGCAACGACATTGGGGTCTGTGAGAGTGAAAACCGAAAACGTGGCACAGTGGAGACGAAAGCCGTGTGGCAACTGTTGCAGTTGAAAGCTTTCTACGAATTGGGAAATTCGAGCACGCATAACCAAACACGTCTCAAGGAATGAAGCGGTGTCGTTTCGTCTTGATTGGTCGTGCATGGCTGAGAGCCTGAGACGACCAAGCCTCGCAAAAACGCGCTGAAGCTCGTAGCTTTATCCAAAGCCCACACCGTATCTTCTGTATGGTCTGGAATTCTCCATTCCATCGTCAATGGCTCTGCTTCTTGGCGGTATTCAACCTCAGATACTATCTTCCATTCGTTATGATCATAGAAAACCTTGTACCAGAGTTTCCAATGGTCGCTTCCATTTCGCCGTTAATACTAGAATTCGTACTGTTCAATCCATTCCTCCTTTTAATCAGAGACGTATTTTTGTGAGCCCTTCAAAATCAGCGTCCATAGATGGGTTTCTGTCCAGAAGAATCCAGAAGCTCTCTGTGAAGAAAAAGAAGATGAAGAGTTTCTGAAGAGGCTTAGGAGATGGTTCAGTTTCCTTCCTTCTATTTTGCCTGGTGGAAGCTGGTGGGACTTCTCCGAAAATGTCGAAATTCAAGAATCAGCTCGACCCGTCACCGTGTGGCGCGCGCTTGCCAAAATGTGGCAACTTGTTGCTCAAGACCGATGGGTTATTTTCGCTGCATTCTCTGCTCTGATTCTTGCGGCGGTGCGTGCTGTCAAATTTTGTTCTTTTGTTAGACTAAAATTTAGGTTGACGATGTGGTCAAAATTAATTCTTCATTTCATTGTGTTTCAGGTTTCGGAGATTTCCATACCGCATTTCTTAACTGCATCTATCTTTTCCGCACAGGGTGCGGAAATTACAGTTTTCCGTCGGAATGTACTTCTCTTGGTTCTGTTCTGTATAACTTCGGGAATATGCAGGTCAAAATCTTGTATGGTCAAATCTCCCTTCTACCTGCTGACAGTGATATGATTCTTTTCTATGCCACTCGCTGCTCTAACTAAAATCAATAAAGAACGGAATGGAAATGCTCTCCTTCTACTCTACTTTAGCTCAAGTGTATCATTCTCTATACCTTTATCTCGTCTCTTTGGATAGTTGTTCTTTGAAAATTTCTAATTAACCTGAGTAAGTGGATGTGCTGAAGATTCTGAAGGCAGCTGAAATAAAGCACTTGCAAATTGTAGCATAAGATAAATTGAATGCATTTTTTTCGTTGTTATTAGTTATTCATTTGAAACCTATCATTTTGCATGTGGGATATGCTTCAGCGGGATACGAGGCTGCTGTTTTGGAATTGCAAATATGATACTGGTGAGCTTCTCCTTTATGTCTCCCATGATGCACCAACAAATAGGGAGTGGTTGCATTCTTTGGTAATAAGGTTCATTCAAGAGACTTGAGCACGATAAGAATATATATATTTTCAAAATTATGAATACAGCACTTTAGCAATGTCTCATGTTGCTCTCAGTTTTCATTGAGTCTTCTGATTAAACGTGTTATCCTAGGTTTTGAAGCGCGTGCATAGTTTCTGCTGAGTGGAGTTTAATCTTTAATCATATCTGCAGGTAAAGAGAATGAGAGAAACATTATACTCCTCCCTTCTTCTTCAGGTTCTTCTGTCCTCAATACTTGATATCTTAGTCTTTCTCTGTTTCATTTTGTTTGTTTAATTACTGTATTTTTTTATTCACTTGAAAGTGCCTTTTTCTGTAGGATATATCATTTTTTGACAATGTAACAGTTGGTGATCTGACAAGTAGGCTAGGTGCCGATTGTCAACAAGTTTCACGTGTTATTGGAAATGACCTTAACTTGATATTGCGCAATGTTCTTCAGGTTGCTTTACTTATGAAATTTGTTTGCTGTTAAAAATTTACCCGCCTCGTTGGGCTTTAAGATTTTTTTTTTTTCATCTGTACAGGGAGCTGGTGCTTTAACCTACTTGTTATTTTTGTCTTGGCCACTTGGTTTATTTACATTGATGATATGCTCTGTATTGTCAGCAGTTTTGCTACTTTATGGAAGGTGAATATTTTGTTGAGTCTCCTCAAGTTTTCCTTCAGAATCTTTGATATTGCCTTCTCAGCTTCCTCTGCCTCTGCCCGGTGTTTTCTTTTGTCTTTGTCTCCTGTTTATCATTTGTGTTATTTGGCTGTGTCTTTCTACATAGGTACCAGAAAAAGGCAGCAAAGTTGATCCAAGAAGTCACTGCTTCTGCTAATGAAGTACAATAAATTCCTTACGCTATTGTTTGTTTTATGTTTGTTCATGTGACACATAACCATTTTCTTTATTGAATTATAGGTTGCACAAGAGACATTCTCTCTCATTAGAACTGTCCGCGTTTATGGAACAGAAGAGGAAGAACTTGGAAGGTGATCATGCTTGAATTATAATGCATTAAAGCAAGCATTCATTGGTACATCAACCTTGACTGGCATGTATCCATCTCTCTACAGGTATAAATGGTGGCTCGAAAAGTTAGCTGATATAAGCTTGAGACAAAGTGCTGCTTATGGATTTTGGAATTTCAGCTTCAACAATCTTTATCATTCAACTCAGGTATAACCAAGGAATCCTTAAATTATGAGATTCTCTCTTTTCACTGTCTCTTCTCTCTCGCTCTCTCTATAGAAATTCTTTGAAAGTTTTACGCTTACAGTATCTAAACTCTGGCATACACATCTTCACATTGGGTTTTTTAACCAAAAATGCCTTTACCTTTTCACATTAAAGAACAACAGATTCAACGCTGTCTAGGACATTTCTTAATACACAATTATTGTAGGGATACATAGATAGAACAGAATAAATGCAAGATTACGAAGATGTAATCTAAAATTCTAGATTACCTTGCATTAGTTTGCCTTTGAGAGAAACATTAAAGGCATTTTGGTTGTAGGATAATGTGTAGAGATTGCTAACATCCATGAATGGACTTAATTAGTATTTCTATCCTAAGGGGTTTGCTCAATTGGTGAAAGAGAGACAGTAGCTGCATTTAACTATATGGGTTTGATTCTTCAAGTAAGCACTTGAGGAAGTACAGGCATAGATTCAAATGCTGGAATGCACCCTTAAGATCACTTCAGAAGTAAAATTAGCTTCAGCAAAGTCTGATGGTACCCTTGCTTGCTATAACAAAAAATATCTTGCTCTTTTACAAAAATATCTCATTAGAAGGCAATATAAGTGTTAAGTCATGTTCCCAAAAAAAGTGCAAGGTTAATACTTAATACAGATTCAAAAAAAATATATATATATATATACACAGGTGCAAAAATCCATATCACCTAATGAATCTACAAGAAGTCAAATAGCTTAATATTTTCGCTCTTACTTTTTATACACCACACGTCAAATATACCTCTTTTTATTCATTGTTATGATCTTTCTCAAGAAAAAAATAATTTTCTTTTTTAAAAAAAATGGTAAGACTGTCCTTAAAGTTTAGAACTTTGTCCATCCTTGAAAATTAAGGTATTTAATTCCATTTTAAATTTTTTTTTTTGGGGGGGGGGATGACCTAAATGACGATGCATGTATTATGTTTAAGGAGAGATGGAATAATGGTCCCTCATAAATCTCCTAACTTCTGTTTGGAGTTGAACATCCTCCCCATTTTTAAATGAGCTATAAACATATCTTTCTTTCTGTTCTTTAAAATAAAATAATAAATGTATGGCCGTTGAAGTATTTTTTAAACACAAGAATTTTGGGAACTTTAATAAAATGCCCTTGCAAATATAGGATTTAGAGATAGTAACCTAAAAGCCCTTGCACGTATTGTGTTTCATAAACAAAGATAAATTGTTTTTTTTTTTTTTTTGGTTGGTCCAATGCCAAATATGGAGAACACTAACTGTGTGAGTGTGTAGTTCTGTATCCTGCTATGCATATTATCCCACCAATGTAAGAGAGTGTGCTAGGATCACTTATTCATACTTTTTGATCAAAGTTTAGTTAAGCCTCTGTACGTGACTTCTTTTATTTGAACATTTAATCTTTTAGGTTATTGCGGTGCTGTTTGGAGGAATGTCTATTCTAGCAGGTCATATTACAGCAGAGAAACTTACTAAGTTTATACTATACAGTGAATGGCTTATTTATTCAACCTGGTGGGTGGGAGACAGTATATCATCTTTGATGCAATCTGTTGGGGCTAGTGAAAAAGTGTTCCAGTTGATGGATCTCTCACCTAGCAAGCAGTTCCAAGCGAAAGGCAAGTGCCATTATGGGTTTTGTCAACCACTTCACACATTTATAACTTTGAATAAGTCTTTTGCATTTTTCCTTTGATTTGATGGCCACCTTTAATAAGGAGATTACCTTTCATTCTATAAGTAGTGAACAAAATAAAAAAAAAATCCTTTGGCTGAAGGTACAAATTTCTTCAGAGATTTTTCATAATTATTAATTGACATTGAAATTTGGATGTGGCTTTGTTACAGGAGCAAAGTTGCAGAGGTTAATTGGGAATATTGAATTTGTTAATGTATCTTTTCACTATCCTTCAAGGCCAACGGTAGATATCTCCTTTTTCTAACATCTTCATTTTGTTTCTTGAAAATATTTGATGTGTCTTGGTGTCAAACACAATAGCTTCAATGCATTATGAATAGTTCTGGAAAATATTGTGCATGGATAATCAATGAAGTTATAAATTATTTTGTTTTTTTTTTTTTCAAAGAATTAAAGCACAAATTTTTAGTACAAGTCTTGGAAACTTCTAGAAATAAAAAATCAGGTTTAAGTTCTTTGAGAAAAAGAGGGGGAAGAATGGAGGGTTTCTTGACAGTATGGTGTCATATCTTGAATAAAAATGCAATTTCTGATGTGAGTAGCATGCTTTACTGTGATGGATATCAATATCTTGTCCTGGCAATTTCTGTCACCCTTTTCCCTTTGCATGGTCTTCTTCCTAAATATAATTTTTTTGTGCATGCATGTAGGGTTAACGTTCATTTTGTCACTAATATGTGAACATCTAATGAACAATCATTTTAACAGGTATCTGTAGTGCAGCATGTAAGTTTTGCTGTTCGACCTGGTGAAGTGGTTGCAATAGTAAGAAATTGCTTCAAGTTTTTGCAACAGCTCCTCATCTTCACATTGTCTAAGATATTAAGTTCTCATTTCCTTTGATTTTACGTAGGCTGGTCTTAGTGGCAGTGGAAAGAGTACACTAGTGAACCTTCTGCTCCGCTTATATGAGCCAACCAATGGTCAGGTAGCATTAGTCCAGCTTCATATTTAAAATTTAACGTTAGAAATATTGGAATTGGATAATTTGATGCTTATAGCATTGAATCATTCCCTCCCATTCTATTTATAAGATTCTACCATTGGTCTTTAATAAAAGACCCTTTTCAAAATTTAATGAAACATTTATGACCCACTTTAAAAATAGCCTTTCCCTTTTCACTCTTAGTTTAATCAATGGCTTTAATTTGATCAAGGGTAATTTTGAAAGGTTGTAAAAATTATTGACAGTTAAGAAAATTGTAACTAATTTCTCTTAATATCATGAATCATAAAAGTAGTTGACAGGGGTTTATAAACAGGACTGGAGAGAGTAGCAAGGAACAGCTGAGAAAAGAATCTGTAATATTAATTTGCTTGTGCAAAATCTATTGAGTTATCAAACAATCAATGGCTAATGATGTAGTCATTTTTTCTATCAATTCTGTAGATATTGGTTAATGTTTGTGTGGAGAACTAGTTACATACTTCCACTTCTGGGGACAGTTATGCACTACAGTAATATGATTTGATAGTTGATTTTTTCTTGAATATATTTTTTTATTGTTGAGTTTGATTGCAGATTTTGATTGATGGCGCCCCTCTTAAAGAGCTGGACATCACTTGGTGGAGAGAAAGAATCGGATTTGTGGGACAGGTTATCAATTTGCCAACATGGTGGAATTTCAGTGATTTTAAGGCAATATCTTCTGACCCTAAAAATTTGTCTGTACAGGAACCTAAGCTCTTCAGAATGGATATCAATTCAAACATAAGATATGGATGCACTCGGGAGATTAAGCAAGAGGATGTTGAATGGGCTGCAAAGCAAGCATATGCCCATGACTTCATCTCAGCACTTCCTAATGGGTATGAAACACTTGTTGACGATGATTTGTTGAGTGGGGGACAAAAGCAGCGAATTGCTATTGCTAGAGCTATTCTCAGGGATCCAAAAATATTGATCCTTGATGAAGCCACCAGTGCACTGGATGCTGAGAGTGAACATAATGTCAAGGTCTGCTTCTAAAAGCTACTCAAAGCCAGTTGACAGTGTAGACTTTAGGCACGCTAAATTTGAGAGAGAGCAAGAGATATTGATGATTCAGTTTCCATTATATGTAGGGCGTTCTCCGTTCTGTTAAAAATGACTCCCTGACTATGAGAAGTGTCATTGTTATTGCGCACAGGTGGGTTATCTTTTGTTGTAGCCTTCCTTTAAATTCTATCTTGATTCCAAGTTTGAAGTTTATGTCCTGCTTTGCAGGCTTTCTACTATACAAGCAGCCGACAGGGTTGTGGTAATGGATAGTGGTAAAATTGTTGAGGTTGGTTAATTCTTCCATTTTCCAGTGCCTTTGTTACCAACTGTTTTTCCTTGATGTTCCTTTTTGAAGCTTATTTTATTTGATTTCTCATCAGCTGTTTTTAAGACTAGATGGTGATAAGTGCTCTGTGTATTAGATTGTGAAGCTAGAAACTTTTGCCGTATTACTTGGGTTTGCGTCTATTCTTAATTCTTATGGGGAAAGTAATCAAAAATTTCACGTCAAGAATCAATTTTCCTTTACCTCCCACGAATTATACTGAAACAATGTATTTCCTATGTGATGAATGAATAACTATGACATGTAAGTTCTGTTTCCTTTATCTCTCCTTGATCTGAAGCCTAACTGGCAATGATTTGTATCCGCGCAGATTGGGAGTCACAGGGAACTACTCTTAAGGGACGGTTTGTATGCACGATTGACTAGTAAACAGGCTGACGCAGTGGCTTGATTTTTCTTCTATTTTGCTTCTTTCTCATGCTACGCAGTGCAGTGGGGCAAGCAATTTTTTCAACTGCTGACCCATGTATTCGTAGTATTAAACAAGCGAAACTGATCGGTTTCCTCAAGGACAGATATACACCTTGCTGCTGCTGATGTTTTGGATCGAAGAATTTGACAGAAGCAGTTTCTTAAGGCATAAACTAACGCATAGTGAGGAGTATATCAGTATAAGAGCCGAGCTTGATTGATAGCCACGAAGCCACCTTTGAGTTTTTGTTTATAATTAATAAAGGTTTGTGTGTGAGTTATATTGAATCTATGAATTCATGGATTATGTAAATGATGCAGTCTATTTGTATTATGCGGCAAGTGCACAAGCTGCTCCTTTATGGGTTCCGACAGCCTTTCCTTGATGATAATATTGGTTTATTTAATACAATTGTGTGTTTTAGATCATATTCGAGCATTATCATGCCTAATTGAAGGTGACTTTTCTAATTCTTTCCTCCATTTGTGAGTTTTGAACGTTGATCTTGCTTAAACAAAATTGAGTCTCTTCTACTCAACCCAACCACCCGTTGGTAATGGTATTTGTTTTAAGTTTATGGCATTGTATTATTGTCTAGGTTAAAAAAACAAAAAAAAGCTAAAAAATGACTCTTGCCACTTAAGAAAGTTGAGTTGGCATGAAGATTGAATCAAAATGAGTTATTCTAAAAGAACATTTGGGCCAACTTAGATGGCAAGTAGGATCTTTTAACTATCTTGATTTGGTGTGATTAACATATATTATTTGTATATTTGTACATGTTTTTATTGATATTAATAGCTAATATGCAAGGTTGGTTTACCATAATGTCATTGTCAATGAAAGATCCTACTGAATGGGCATGGATGAATATTGAACGCTCCTAGTTAAGGGGATGGGAAAGGGTCTCATATATGAGTACACTAGCGCAACATTCACCGGCTTGTCTTGTTTGTGCACTATCATTTCCCCCCCCCCTCCTTTTTTATAATAAAAGTTAATATATCATCAAATAAAACAATTGCAAAATAAAAGGGCCCTTAGAAAACAAACCAAGGGCTTGTTGGTACTGTCTGGCTGCCAATTATAAGAGTAACAACAAAAAACTCAAACGAAATGAAGACAATCAGTAGAGAAATAAAAAGATGACCCATGCAGTTAAGGAGTTGTGTGGCTCGTTAGAGAAATATAAGTAACTTTTTTAAAAAAAGGTCCATCAACAAGTTGAAAAAGCACCATGAATCAATGAAAACTTTGATCTCCATAGATGTTGAAAATAAAAAATTGGTGGAATATCCATAGGATTTGAAAATCCAAAGCCAAAGCTTTACTTTAATAAAAACTGTATGTGTACTCCTGAATAAACTAGAGTGGTGCAAGTGAACTTAGAAAAGTAAAAAAGATAAACATACAAACTAAAACAAACCAAATAGAAAGTAGAAAAAGCCAGACATGATGATGATGACGATTAACCAAAAGTTGCAGCACCTGAGTCTGGACCATCATGATGTTGTAATTTATGAGGGTCCCTTCATCCTAACGTGCAAAGTTTTTTTTTGGCTAAAACTCCATGAAACCTTGACTAGAGATAGTACTATGTTTTCTTATCATTGAATAGATCAAATTTGCACTTGCATGCATGCAAGCATGACAGAGCAGCAAAAGAACCATTTGAATAAGCAATGGAATCGAGATCTAGAAATGCAAAATGATCAAGTAAGACAAATGTGGGAGAGCCAAGTGCATGACGCCTCATGTGTAGGAAGTAAAACCATTCTCGACTGCATGCAATGAGTTCGAATGACCTCCATCATGATAATTGACCTGCATGAAATCAAAAAAGATGTAACCCACAACTGGCGTTATACTCATGCATCTCTCACGCCAAAAGTTAAAATAGGATCAATGGTCCTCGCTTGTTTTTAGGAAACTTAGCATGTATATGGGCTAACTAGTTATGAAAACCAAAAAGGCATTTTGGTAGCGGTTGATAATATTGTCGTCCATTAGCCTTTCAATTAAGATCAAGAAAACCATAGCTATGAAGAACCTCATAGAATTAGCATACCCAGGTAAATCTTAGCTCTCTCCATTCATGAGAGCCCACTTAAAGTCTCCGTTGTCCATGAATAAGGACTGTGTATTTACACAGGCGCAAGTTATGCTTTACAAGAATGTCTAATTGACCGCAATAGAAGGGTCTCCATCTTAATTACCATATTGAAATGATTCATAGATTATAAATATAAATATTGCTTGCAAATTTTAAAATTGTACAGTTTTCCCCCACCTCATGGTGATAACTAATGTACAAGGTATTTGGTTATTGAGTTTGAGCTTTTGAAAGTCTTTTTTTTTTTGTATAATTGATGTAATTTTGCAAGAAGCAAGATTTGATAGTTTTTTTTTAAAAAATCTTTTGAAATGTTATCCAAATAAACCGTTAATAACGTGCGTTCATTTCATATACTATGTTTTATTTTTAAAAACACAAGGAAGCCAAAAACAAAAACAAAAAACAAAAACAACATGAATCAAAAATGGGTTCATATAATTTTTATTTGGTATATGTATATATATATAATTTTTTGTCTAGGATGACGCAGGGCATCTTTTGATTCCAAGCGCTAGGCCCCACCGCGACTCCGTGAACCCTCGTCTTCCTAAAATCCCTCCTCCGACGTCCGCGCCTGTCATTCGCTGCAGCTCTCGGACTCTCCGAATTGTTCCCTGCAATCCAAGACAATATCCCCCGTAATCCCAAGGTCAAATTCCACCAGCCCAGAGCTATAAGAGAAGGCCTTCCATGGACTCGTTCCAACAGCCTCACGGCTACATGAGGCCACAGCCCCCTCCGCTCCACACGGCAGATCCCAACCACTCTCAGTTTCATCAACATAATCAGATGCAGGCACCGAGGCAACCGGCCCCTCCCCAAGGCCCCTGGTTCTCCAACCAATTTCAGTACCACCCATCTCAGACTCCTTCACCTCCGCCGCAGTGGGCCCCACCACCACCACCTCCTCCTCCTCTTCACTCCGATCATTTTCCTCCGACGGGGTCGTACACTGCACACTCTAATCCTTATCCCCCGCCTCCGTCCTACCATCACACCCAGTTCCCTCCACCTCCGCCCCCTCCTCGCTCCCATGTGTCTCCTCAGTTCCCTCCTTACTCCCACATTCCCCAGACTTATCCTCAGGTAATTCTGATACCCAGGAACAGTCGTTCTCTTCTTGGCTGTGGTGCATTTATTTACGCACCCTTGGTTATCTAGGGTTTTTAACCCTTGAATTATTTTTCTTGGATTAATTGGTTTTGAAGAGTTCAATAAGTTCATGTATATGTGCGTTGAATGTGAGCTTCTTTGATTTACGCTTGTATGATTGGCTAATCTCCAAAATCACATAAACTATTCTAGGAGTGGAGTACTTCAAACTGGCCTACCAACCAAAGCTGGGATTATCCAGGTTAGTTGTTTATACTTTTACTTGAGAATCATTGTTTTTGTTTGTAACTTGTGTTGTTTTTCGTCTTCCCCCATTGGTTTCATGCAGTTTTTTTTTTTTTTTAATCTTTATCATCTGATGTCCATATCTATCTGAGATTCGATAGAGCTTTACGTTGGCTGTTAAGAACGTAGCACAATGGTATGCTGCATTCCATGTATTCAACCATGCCTAGTGAGTTAAGTCTTCTGGTCGTCTTTGTTGTCGACATGGTTTATTGTCTGTATCGAAGTAGCCAAGCACACCTATTTATAGTTTTTAGTAGAATGTAACATGTGTTGGCCTATACCTCGCTCAATGGCTGCCATCTAATGAAAGGTCATTATTGCATTCGAAAAAAGTAACTCCTAGAAGGCTAGAACCCAGAAATCGAACGAAAGAGATAATGGCTTCAACAATAAAATTGAATAACACGGGCACTCAACATTAAGCTTGGAGATTTCCAGTGGCTGTCATACCAAACTTGAATTTGATCATTATGTGGATTTATTGTTGCATGTGACTTCCTTTTCAGGAATTGTATCCTCTATGAGTACTACTGACATGAAAGATGCCAAGGGACAATTTTGATGTTAATAATTAGATTTACTAACGGAGTAAGGAATTGAATATATCAACTTGAGGGAGTACACGTTTGTATTAAGAACAAATGGTATGCATTATTGTACTGGTGTATGCTTTTGCTTCTTGTTTTATTATTTAGGATCATTTTATGTGTTCATTTACATGCATTGTCATTTTGAATATGCTTCTTGTGTATTTTCATTTGATTATATTCATGAATGAACTCATGAATTATAGATACCAGTATGCTTTTGTCACATCATTTGTAGTTTGTAATAGTTACTATTAATAAGTGGCTTGGCATGCAACAATTGGACGGGAAATATGATGGAAGAATAATTTTGTGATCCATCATGTGTTTCTGATTGAACTTTAGTCCTCTTCTACTGTTAAGTCTTAATAAAGGGGCAGGGAAAACGATCTTTATCTAAGTCTGAACAAGAATCTCATACAAACTAGCCAAAGCCAAGTAGGAGAATCTTCATATTGCAAGTTTGACAATCATTCCTCTTCATTCATAAAATGTCTTACAACTGTATAAAACCATAAAGTTACAGTTACAACCGTAAGTTGACAGCACATACAAATTAATCACATACGAATTAATATCCTAAAAACTTGACAACTCAGCATGCTCAAAGATGAGAAGGATGGACTGAAACGTTAAAATACTGACAGCACATATAAAGGTAGTTTTTCAACATGAATAACACCCTCATCAACTAATTCCATTGCTGTATTCTGACTTAAACCTTTCTTGTGTCTTTTATTTACCAATAATGGACTCCTATCAGTATCCCCCCCTTTGAAAACAGCCTTGTCCTCAAGGATGAAATGAGGAAATTGATCCCAAATGAGGTCATATTCCTCCCAAGTTGATTCTTCTTGAGGATGTCCACGCCAAGAAACAAGTAATTCCAGTATGCTGGTAGTTCCTGTTGAAATCCAGCAATGTTCAAGAACACTGTGTGGCTTTAACTGAAGCTCCTTAGTGTCTGAAAGTGGAAGAGCAGGTGGCATGGAAGGAGAAGGAGTGCCATGAGCAGGACACAGCATAGAAACATGAAAAATAGGATGAATTTTGGCATTAGGAGGGAGGTGCAACTGATAAGCAAGAGGTCCTACCTTACGAACAATCCGATATAGTCCAAAGAAGTGAGGTGACAGCTTCTCATACTTCTTTGTTAAACTGAATTGGCAATAAGGCTGGATTTTGAGGTGAACAAAGTCTCCTTTATTAAAACAAAGATCACGTCTGTGGGCATCTGCATGGGCTTTCATTTTGGATTGAGCTTTTAGAAGGTCATCTTGAATAAGCTGCAACATGGCATCTTGTTCCAAGAGTTGAGTTTCCAAATCGAAGACCTTGGTTTGACTACGCACATAAGGAAGGACAGGAGGAGGAGGACAGCCATACACAATCTTGAACACAGTAAAGCTTGTAGTAGTATGAAAGCTTGTATTGAAAGAATATTCAGCCCTAGGAAGATACTTACTCTATAATTTTGGCTATTTGTGGGCAAAGCAACATAAATAAGTCTCCACACATCTATTAACCACCTCTATTTGCCCATCACTTTGTGGGTGATATGCTGTACTCATCTGGAGTTGTGTGTAAATGAGATGGAAGAGTTCTTGCCAAAAAGTGCTTTGGAAGACTGGATCTCAAATTGAAATAATGGAGTTGGATATACCATGAAGCCGAACTACTTCTCAACTAAATAAGGCAGCAATAGATTTAGCAATAAAAGGCTAAGATATGTCGAGAAGATGGATGTATTTGCTGAAACGGGCAACCACAACAAGTATGGTATCTATGCCACTAGACTTAGGTAACCTTGCAATGAAGTCCATAGATATATCTTCCCAAACATGATGTGGAGGAGGAATGGGATGAAGTAATCCTGCGGGAGATAAAGTTTGATATTTAGAGATTTGGCACTCATGGCAATCTTGAACATGCAACTTAACATCTCATTTCATATGAGGCCAAAAGAAATGAGTTTGTAATCTTTTGAGAGTTCGGAGGTATCCTCCATGTCCTCCTATCAAACAAGAATGAGCATCTACCATCAACTTAGATTTGAGAGTGGGGTGATCTAGAATGATTGAATGCCCATCATAAAACAACTTCCCATTGACCAAAGCATAATGTTGAGCAGAGGTAGGGTCCTGAAGAATAGAATCCTTAATGTGTTGAGTGGATGGGTCTTGGTCAATCCATACATCAAGATCATCAAAATCTGCACTATGTGGAATAGCTAGAGCCATAAAATCAGCATGTTGAGGCTGGCGGGCAAGGGCATCAGCACCTCGATTGGTACAACCACTCTTATGTTTGATGGTGAAATCAAAGGGCAACAACTTCATTATAAGTCGTTGCTGCTTTGGAGTTGTTAATCGTTGATCCATCAAATATTGAAGACTATAATGATCGGTATAGATGTCAAAATGTCGACCAAGGAGGCAATGACACCATTTTTGCAGAGTTAACACCAAAGCCAACAATTCTCTATCATATGCAGATTTGATATGATTAGAGAATGTGAATCCTTTACTGAAGTGGGCAACGGGATGAACGTCCTGGATAAGAATTGCACCAATTCCCCATGATGAAGCATCACATTCCACTACAAAAGGCTTGTTGAAGTCTGGTAAATGGAGAATAGGCGCATTAATTAATGCATGTTTGAGTTTTTGGAAAGACTACTCCAGTAAAGAAGAGCATTGAAAAGCCCCCTGTTTGGTGAGATCATTTAATGGTTGACCTAGTTGACCTTAATGATGCACAAATTGTCTGAAATAACTTGTAAGGTCAAGAAATCCTTGTAATTCTGTCACATTAGTTGGTTTAGGCCATTCCATCATAGCTTGTATCTTTGCAGGATACATAGCAACCTCCTTTGAAGAGATAACATGTCCCAAAAAAATCAATCTGAGGTAAACCAAAAGAACATTTCTTCCCCTTAGCAAAGTAAGTGTCCTGTTGCAAACTGGCAAGAACTATTCGCAAATGCACTAGATGGTAAGCTAGTGTAGGACTGCAAACCAGCATGTCATTACAGAAAACAAGGATGAAACATCTCAAATAAGGCTGCAAAAGATCATTCATCGTAGATTAGAAGGATGTTGAAGCATTAGTGAGGCCAAACGGCATGACTGTAAATTCATAATGATCTAAGTGAGTTCGAAAAGCAATTTTATGTATATCTGCAGGTTTAACTCTAATTTGGTGGTATCTTGAATGCAAATTGATATTTGAAAAGATGGTAGCCTTGTGTAACTCATCAATGAGTTTAGCAATATTGGGAATGAGGTGTTTGTCAGGAATTGTTATCTTATTTAATTCTCGGTAGTTAATGCAGAATCTCCATGAGTCATCTTTCTTCTTTACCAACAATACAGGACTATCAAATGGACTACCAAAGGTTGTACAAAACCTTTGGCTAATAAATCTGCAACTTAGCACTCTATTTCATCTTTTTGGTAATGCGGGCAACGGTATGGCCTGATATTTGGTAGTGTTGCCTAAGGTTGCAAATTAATGGGGTGGTTTTTATTTTGAAGAGGAGTAAGAGTAGTTGGACTATCAAAGACAGAAACATAGTCATCAAGTAAGTTTTGCAATGAGTGTTGAAAAGAATATTGGTTTGTAATGAACTGTTGAGCCATGGAACACGGACCTGCTTCTGCTTGATTGCTAGTATGGACTTCTTGCAATTTGTACCTTTTCCTGATGACCCAAAAAATCATAAACATGCATTGCCAATTTGCTTGAACTGTATTCAGAGATGATAACCACTTGATACCCAATACTAGATCAACACCACCCAAAGAGAAGGCAAAAAATTATTCAATGATTTCCAATCTGTGCACTCGAACTGTGACTTGAGGGAAAATGTCATTGCAGTAAATTATATGTTCGTTGCCAATCTGAACTCCAAAAGGAGAAACATGTTTAGTTGGGATTTGTAAATTTTGCACTAGAGTAGAGGAGATGAAGTTGTGGGTAGAACCACTATCAATCAAAATAAGCACTTTTTGGTGATTCAAGATGCCTTCCAACTTCATGGCAGTGCTCGCAGGATGTCCAAGAATAGCATGAAGCGATATCTCTACAAGCACTTTATGGTTACCTTTTGAGTTCATAAGGTCATAGTGCTTTTCTATCTCGGGCTCTTCAGAGATTTCCATGAGAGTCAAATTAGCGTTCTTGCAATGATGGCTTGGACGAACTTCTCTCCCCAATGAAAACCAAGTCCTTTGTCATGCCTTAATTGCTTCTCAACGTCCCAACTTGAAGTCGCACGTTGCGTGTTGGGGGAAGCGTTCGACAATGTGGTTGTAGGAGTGGTAATTGCCGTGCGATTTTCTTTAGTTGGCTTGTAGAGGTCCATAAGTTATGGCTATCTTAGAACTTTGAAGTTTGGATTCTTATTCTAGGGTTAAACTCAAAGCCTTGTTGACAAATTTGGGCTTTTGAATCCTAACATCAGCCCGCAACTCTTCTTTAAGCCAATTTAGAAAAGGCCCTAATGAGCAATGTTTTGGCCAATTTTTTGCTCTTGTCATATGCTTTGCGAGTTCCAAATGATATTCTTGTATCGTTCTGCTCTGCTTGATTCCATAGAGGTGCTCCTTTGGATTTTGGAACTCAATGGGTTCAAAGTTTTCTTGAAGCATGCACACTAGGTCTTCCCAGTAGTTGATCGATCTTTCTGAACTAGCCTATCCGAACAGGTCTAACACATCCCCCTCTGAGTACATAGCTGCCACATCTACTTTCATATCCTTGGGAGTTTGATAATATTTGAAATATTTCTCTGCCTTGAGTGACCAACCCCTGGGATCACCACCTTCAAACTTGTGAAAGTCAACTTTGGTATGTGGTCTCCTAGAAGGGTTTCAAATCCACCAAGGTATGTTGTGCTCTTCATCATCTTCTGCTGTAGCATATAAAATTTCAGGTTGTTTGCCTTTGTGTCATGAGGATTGCCTTGTATCTTGTAAAAGTTGTTCTGTTGAAATTTCATCCACTACATTCAGACGAGATGAGAGTTGATTTAATTGCTGGACTATGAATTCAAGAGAATTTGGATTTATGGGAAAGGCATGGGATTAAATAGAACTATTTCTAGTACCTCACCATCCTGGGGATAATGAGGCTTGGATACCAAAATGTTAAGTCTTAATAATGGGGTAGGGAAAATGATCTTTATCTAAGTCTGAACAAGAATCTCATGCGAGCTAGATAAAGCCAACTAGGAGAATCTCCGTATAACAAGTCTGAAAATCATTCCTTTTCATTCATAAAATGTCTTTAAGAAACCATAAAGTTACAGTTACAATCGTAACTTGAAAGCACATACAAATTAATATCCTAAAAACTTGACAACTCAGCATTCTTAAGATAAGAAACATAAACTGAAACATTAAAATACTGACAGCACATATAAATGTAGTTATTCAACATGAGTAACTCCCTTATCAACTAATTCCATTGCTGTATTCTGACTTAAACCTTTCTTGCGTCTTTTATGTACCAATAATGGATTCCTATCATTTGCCCCTCTGCAACCTGCTAAAAATCATGTTCAACCTCTACCTTCTTTTTTAACTCAGTGGGTTTATAGTTGTAGGTCATAAGAATGAAGAAGATTGGGCGGCCAGGGCCAGAGCATGGGCAGATGCTAAGGCTGCTCTGGAAAGCCAGCATCAGCATCCACAATCACAATTTTCACCTGCTGGAAGATCTCAGGAACAAAGCCATTATCATGATCAGTATCAACAACCTGTTGATTCACGTTATCCTGATATTCAAAACCAGTCTCATCCTTCATCTAGCTATCCACAATTTTCCTCTTCTGATGCATCTATGCAACGCCTTCCAGGACATCAGGAGGAGCATGCATCTGTCAGTTCAGAGGCACCCTATGCATCAGATAGTCATTTATCATACAGTGCTAGAGATGGAACTACTACTGGAGATCCAACTGTTGCATATCAACACCAAGGAAACCTACCTACGAACCCATTGGTTCACCAGCAGGAGGTACCTTCTAGTTATAGTTCTGTTACAGGTAATTATTTACTTAGTATATTGAATTTGTTAGTGAAGTTTTTCTCATGTGGAAATGGCTCATAGGTTAATATTCTAATATTTCTTGTGGTACATATGATGATAAATTGAGGACCTGTTATAAGGCAAACATTTCAATTTGTGAAATGTTGTTACTCCATAAATTTTATTGCTATCCAAGTTTGGTCCAAAAATTGATCCTTTTGACCCTACTTCATTGTCCCTGCTAGATTTCCTTTGAGCAAAATGTTCTATTACAATCTTTGTATTTTGAAATTGTAATAAGAAGAGGGATTAGTTATGGAGCTTGTTAAGGGTACTTGGGATTTGGGAATGAAGGTGGTTCCATCAGAGTTGGCTAAGGATGACCCGGCTCTTGATGCCACTGATACATAATTGTAATTTGGGTGTGGGGGAATGATAGGAAAGAGAGGGAACAGACAGAAAAGAGGAATGGAGAACAGAGAACTAGGGTTAGGGTAAAGGAAACTTGATTTGTTATCCAAGTATTCAAGCCTAATTACAGTTAACCAGACGATTTGTATGTAGCCAACAGTCATTAACATCACTAATTGCTCGTAAATCCCTAGTCCCAACTACCCTTGGCTAACTTTCTAACTAATCCCGCTTTACAATTACATAATACCTTGTCTGATTGATATTTTTAGGTCAATAAACTAGACCACATTAATATGCTTGAGCAGTTGTGCTGCTCTAGGCATGACATGAAGAATACATTAGTTTCTGGTTCAAGATAAGTTCAACCATTTTTTGGGGGGCATTAAACATAGGAAACTTGCCATCGAATTGCTTGATTCATATCTGGTTAAAATTGGATGAGTTATATTTTTATATTTAGATTAATTCAAAAGTCTGAGCAAAATACCTACTTGCTACATAATGGTGCAATATCTGATGTTGACTTCATCATACATGGTGCACGTATGACTGTATGCTAATTTTTTACAAGGGGTGTCAGCCCAAGTATTGCTAGTAATCCCTCTGTACGCTAATTTTTTTTTTTTAGCGCCTCTGCACCTCACCTGCTGGAATTACCTCACAATTCACATTGACAACTTGTCACATTTGATAGACACAAACATGGCTCGTGAATTGCATACTGCTATGGTGTTTCTCTGTTTTAATATGTGATTCTGGGTTATGTTACACTGTTGAAAGGAGATCCAACAGTTCTGATTGAATCATAAAGAGAATTCTTTTTAATGGATGGTCATGAAATTTTGTTCAAAAATCTGAGCATCAATTAAAATGTATTAAATGGGTCAGCCACACTGCTGGGTTTGTATATAAAATTGAGAATTCTCAGTTTGGTGAATGCATTATTTTTTGTCGGTGTTTTTAATCAGTTAATGCAGTTTTTGTTCCTTTTGGTTTAGGTGTAGTTGTAGCATTTTTACTTTGATTATTTAAATTAAAGAGTTGGAGAAACTGTTTTTGGATAGACTTGTATAGTGGTAAAGGTCTAAAGGATCTCCTATATATTTATTTGTTTTGTTATATCTTTGATAAATAAGATATATATATATATATATATGTAGCATATTTTCCAATTATGATATTTGATGACGGGTTATCATGCAAAAGGAGGTGGGGAAGCAACCACATTACTTTGAGGAGCAGAATTCTAGGCCCCTGGGGCCTTCTTTGAACATCAAGCATTCCATTCTTCCGTTAATTATTTCCTACTTTGACTAATGGCTAAAATGACAGGTAAAGAAACTACTGATCACAGTCAACAATCATACACATTGATGCATTTGTCAAGTTCGTTGTCCCAGGAACAGCATCGCGTGCAGCCATCAGTGCAAGCACCCTTTGCATCTGGTAGCCATTCAGTGGACCCAGCTATCAGTCTTGCTGACCAGCCTTTAGATTTTGCACCTCGGTTTAATCGTGATGGTGACCTACAAATGCAATCAACTTATGGTCATCATGATTCAGCTACTTCTATTAGAGGCATTGATCCTGTAAGTGGAGTGCCTTCGGTGAATAATTGGGCTCCTCCAGTGGCACCTGGTGTTGTTTATCCACCCATATCTCCAGTTCTTGCCTCAGGACCACAGGTCTTGATTTTATTGTCTTTTCTCTCCTTAATTCATGGGTTATATGTGATTATGCTAACATTTAGTTCATCTTACAGCATGACCCTTCCATTACCACCACACCTCCTGTTCCTGGGCATGTGGCACCGCCATTTGGAAGGTTTCCTGGATCTGGCCTCCCTCCTCCAATTCCACCAGGTGCTGCACCTTTTGCCCTTACTGTAGGAACTACAGTGCATCCCACATCAGCTTTCTCTGCTGATGCATTTGGGGTTTCTGGTTTTCCCGAACGTCCTAAAAAGGTACCTATGCCTTGAACGTTTATGCTTGGTTGGATATATATTATATTATATCTCATTTGCAATTATTTTTCAGGCCTCAGTACCTAATTGGCTTAGAGAGGAAATAAAGAAAGCCGTTATTGCTCCTTCTGTTGAGCATCCTAAGGAGGAATCAAAATTTACGCATGATGGTGTTGAAAAGTCATATACAAAGGGTGACGAGCAAGATAGCAAAAGCATCGATTCTTCTAGATCAGCTGATGAGGAGGAGGAGGAGGAAGAAGAGGTTTTATTATTTACTATAAAGTTTCTTTTTGCAAAATAATTCTATATAAGAATTATTATCTTCTGCAATTTTAGTTGATTAATAGTTATATATCAGCTCTGGTCTTTGAAATTTGATCAGCCTTTTTTTTTTTTTATGTAGGATGATGTTGAAGCTGCTAGAACCGCTGCAATTAACCAGGAAATAAAACGTGTGCTAACTGAAGTTCTTTTGAAGGTTAACTTTAGATTATCTTATCTCATATCTATCTGCTGCAGACAAGAGAAGGAAAAAAGAAAAAAGAAACTTAGTATACCTGTAGTTCTAACTAGAGGTTCATAGCAGGTAACTGATGAGCTTTTTGATGAGATTGCAACTAAAGTTCTTAGGGAAGATGATCTAACTTCTGAAGGTAATATTCTGACTTTCTCTAGTTTTTCTGTTTAAACGTATCTTAATGGACAATTGAATTGTCAACTTTCTGGATTGTTGAACGTCACAAGTTCTGGCTTTGTTTTTTCCCAGTGATTTCAAACCATAAGGCATCAATATCTCCACCCTCAGCTCCAGTTCACAAGTCATCTGCGAAGGTTCTAGTTCCAGTTAAAGTCAAGGAACCCGAACCTGATGCTGACAGTGAAAAATCTAATTCCAGCTCTCCAGGAGATGTTTTAGGTCTGGGGAACTATGCTTCTGATGCTGAGGATGATGATGATGAAATGGACAGTTCAAGCGTGCCACCTTTAAAAGATGTCCACCAGTCAGGCATTATGAATTCATCCGAAGATATGCATGATGGATCCACTAATAGCAGTTCACAATTGAGACTTGGAGAAAATGGTGGAAGTCAAACAAATTTGGTGAATAATTTGGGCAAAACTGGCTATGGTGATGCTATTGGAGAGTTGCATGATGATAAAGTGACCAAAAAGTTGAATCATTCACAACCTTTCAAGGATGTTCCTGAAGATAAGAACAATGGGCTTAGTGCTTTTGAAAGAAAGCATGAGAGGTCTAATGGAAAGACCACTGGTGTTGAAAAAACTACAGAAGATTCTCAAGCTAGGGAAAACAGAAAAAGACTAGAAAAAGCTGATGGACATGATCAGAATTCTTCAGTGGACTTTGCTAAGGATGTACAAAGTAGCAAGACTAAGGCAGATGAGAAGGTGAATGAGAATAATAGAAGAAAGGATGAAAGACACCAGAAAAAGGAAAAAGCAGATGGCAGCAATGAGGTAAAAGGAAGGAGGAAGGATGACAGCATGAGGCATGGGGAGAAGGCAAGGGATTCTGAGTCAAGGAAAAAGGCCTCACTTGCGGGTGCCAAGGTTGACAACAAGGAAGCAGGAAAAACCCACAGAGGTGGTTCTACAGAAAATCCTAGCCGAAGAAAGGAACATTCAAGGGATAAGGGGGAACATAAATCAAGACACAAAGAGTCAAGTAAGTCTGACAGGCATAAAAGGAAACGTTCTTCATCAGTCAGCAGTAGAGGTAGAAGCAGCAGGGACCAGGCAGTTAATCATACGAGTGAGTCAAGTGATGAAGGCTCAGATGGCTCAAAAAGGTTTTGGACGGAGTTCACTTAACATTCTTCATTTAATTTTAACACACAGTGCATCATAACATTTTTGTATTGCAGGAAGCTACATTCCAGAAAACGCAACTTATCACCATCTCCAGTCAGGTCTAGAAGAAGGTATGCTTTATAAAAACATTCATTACTTATGTTCAGGTTTGCACGATCATTTTTTGGTGTTTCTATCTTTTAGGTATAGATGAGCTGTTTTGCTCAGAACAGTTTCTTCCTTCTCAGATATGAAATAGAGTATCAGTCATGTTAATTATCATTTAGTTCATGCTTGCTTACATAGGTTTCTTTATAATATCCTGTTTGCCTTTTTCTTTAAATAGAATCTCGGTGGCTGTTGTTAATAACTTTTTGTTTGCTAGTTTTCTGTGCGAACTAAGTTGAGTCTATTTGGTACCATGGAAGAATTAGAATGTATATTCTGTAAGTCTTATAGCCAACCCTTTATCTTTTTGTGTGCGCGTATGTGTGCATGCCTATTACCTGCTATCATGTTATCTTCTTTTTGGCATTTCCATTTCCTGGTTTCAACTCTAGTTCATCTCTTATGATGCCACAATCACTTAGCTAAATTCTCATAACTGAAGGAGCACGGCTCCCTTTCCAATGACCAGAAAGTTAATTCTGCATTATTGTCTGATTTCAATTTCTGACCTTTGTTTAGCTTAACACTGATGTAATAATTGAATTATATTATTTTATTTTTTGCATCAGAAATATATATCTTGAGCTTTGGATTCTTGCCACTAGGTGAATGCATGTATCATTGCTCATTATTGAGCCTCTGCCTGGCTGACTTGCATTATTTACGGAATTATATTATTGCATGAGTACAACTTTTATGTCAAACTTGCAGAGACACTAAATTTGAACCAGGAGTTGTAGTTATCACTAGAGGCTTTACATGCATTATGTTAGTTCTCATTTAATTTTTTTAAATAAATCTTTTGAAATACAATAATATAATAAATTATGAAAGTAATAAAAAAGTAGCGGCGAGTTAAGTAACTTCTTACTCTCAACATCCAGCGAAATAATTGTCATTACTCATTTAGTGATAGTTAATCTATTTAATAGCTAGTTCCTGCATACACCTGTTGAGCCTGGGATTTTAGCAATTCCCACACTTTAAAGCTGGAATCTCGTTCAATCTTTTTCTAGCAATCTCCCTGTGCAAGTTACACCGTAAAATTTAATTAATTCGATGCATGTTCAAGTCCACTGGTTCAGTACACGTGTCTTTGTATGATAAGTTAGTATTATAATTCTTCTATTTACCAGTGATTTATGGCAAGAACTCGATGTTTGATGAACAAAATTGTGGTACATGGTTGATATCCCAACTCTATATAGTTGGACTAGGCGAGGATCTCACTAGTTAGTATTCTAGCTTTTATTGGTTTTAGTAGCTGGTAAACTTTGATTGTCTTCTACTTATTAATGGAAAACAGAAAAAGATTTACAGTTAACAGGCTGCTTCCTATGGAGTTTTGACTCTGTACAAGGTTGAGTTTGTCCTAAACTTTGTGTGCCTTTTAACTCACCAAGTCAGTACGGTGGTTTCATTTTTAGACAAGTTTCGCGGTCTCCTCATAGCAAGCATTCTCAGCGCAGGCATTCTCCCTACCCTTCTCTTGATACTTCCAGGTTTGTTGCCATAAAGTTTGACATGATTATGATTTAAGTTTTTGAGACAAAACTCCCATCACCATCACCACATAAGAATAAGCTACTCAGGTGAATTTGTCAGGCTTCTTAACATGTACGTTCTAGTGCTGCCTTGTTTACATGCTGTTTTTGCTTTTGTGCAGGGGAAGGAGATCAAGATCTAGATCACCTGGTCGGCGGCACCGGTGAATAGCCAGACATGCCTGAATGAACAGGTCTGAGATGTTTGCATCGACAAAATTCAGATAAGAGGACAGAAAATTGGAGGGTGCGGACTTGAAGTCTGAAGGTCGTGCGTGAGAAAGAATATCAGTGAGGATTTATGGGTGACACGATTTTTGTAGGTTTAATACATCCATACCGATATTTTCATGGTTCGGCCGTTCTCAAGGGAGAAATATATAGTAGAAGCGGTGCTAGAGATGTTTTTTTTTTTTTGCTTTTTTTTTGGGGGGGGGTGTTTGTTGTACTTGTTTTGGTGTAAAGGAAAAGATCCATGGTCTCTAGCATCTCCATCTGCTTCACTAGAAGTCTATTTGTATGTAATCATATCATCGTCCTGATTTTGGCGACATATTCAATAGAGGGGAATGAAATTTGAGTTTGAAGGCATGTTTTCGGCTTTTATGAATAATTAGGCATTTCAAATCACTTGCTCCTTCCCCTGTTTTTCTACTTCATAAGTGGATTAAATTGTGCTGGAGTAATGGTGAATTTTTTCCCCCAATTTGAACAGTGCGAAATTACGTTTTCTTTTCATAATAAATGAAAGTAATCATTTTTTATATTATTTTAATCGTTCATTGAATAAAAGTAGTCATATAGTTGTTATTTATCTTCAGAATTTTATGATTATTAAATGAAATTGAGAAATATTAGTCATTTTTTATATTATTTTAGGGGAAAATAATCATTAAGGACCTTTTAAGAATATTAATCCTAATTAAAATCATAAAATATTAAAATTTTAATTAAGGATTATAGTCTTTAATTGAATAAAAAAATACCTAACTTTATAAAATTGGTCCTTCACTAAATAAAAGATATTAGCTCATGTTTGTGTTCTTTATTTTGGGCATGAAAATTTAATCTCATGTGTGCAAAAAATCTAAGCCAAAAATTATAGTCTTCAGTAGAGTGGATCGTCATCTAAGTTATCATCTTCTCCCTTTTTTGGTGATAGGTAATTACATTCATTGCTTTTTTTTCATCTTTCTTCTCTTGCTTAAAAAATCTAAAGTTATATATTTCCCTATCTTTTATATCTTCTCTTCTCTCTTAGGCTAAAGACAAATTTTATATCTTTATAAATGATATTTTACATCATTTCTTTTCTAAAGTTAAGAAAAAAGGAAATCTTGTTGATGAGTATATATATACACACACAATAAATAATTTTTGAGACAGATAATGTTAAAAAAAATTGAGTAAAAAAAAAAGAAAGATGTAATGTGGATGCTGATTTTTTTCTGTTCTGCGAGTACATTGATGTTGAAAAATGAAACATAAATGCTAAATTGTTGTAATCATAGTTGAGATTGCGGGAATGATAGTTGCAAAGGCACAAATAATATTGAAAAAAATTGAGTGAAAAAAAATGTACCGTAAATGCTAATTTTTTTGTTCTGTGATAAAAAATATGCTGATGTTAAAAAATATAACATGAATGTTGAATTGTTGTAATCATAGTTGGGATTATGAGAAGGATAATTGTGAAGTAATAAATTTATATGTTGTTCTTAGTTGTTTTAGGTTTATTTCCTAATGGCAAGTACTTTGGCAAAAGAAGTATTAACTTGTGAGTAATTGTAATGCAAGATGAAAGATTTCTTACAATGGTCACTGTCAGAATCTTTTATCTAAATAAGAGCTTGAAGGTATATCACCCTCTTTGCCATGTTCAACACAAAATGCTCCTATACTACTCCTTAAGGTTAATTGAGTAAAATGAAAGGATTTATTTATGGGTGTTAGCCAAACATTTGACGTTGCAACTGTATTTACAAAAGCATCTGTGCACAAGAAAAATTTATAGTTTCACAATGATTTCAGTGAAAACTATTGACATGCCTTAGTTGATTAAGTTACATTATAAAGATTATGAAAACAATTTCTTTTTGAAACCACCACTAACTACACATCTCCTAGGACGACCACACACCAAGCGAAGAGAGTCATAGTTTTAAAATAAGAAGGTGTATCATTGCTCAAGATGTAATCAAGCTAGACATATCAAGAATAGATGTAGGAACCCCAATTCAAGAATAGATATAGGGATTGAAAGGGGTTAAAACCATATGCATATTAATTGGTTTGAAATTAAAATATATCTAGTTTTTATTTATTTAATATGTTTTGCTATTGAATGACTTTTTTCTGCAGACATCCATACCATATTTTTTATACATGTGAGAGTAACAAATCATGTAAATAAATTTATAGTTTACATTATTTTTTGGGAAGCAGACTGCATAAGTACCATTTAGGTAGATAGGATATTTTGTATGTAAAAAGGGATTATATATATTGAAATTAACATAATATAATGCTAATGTCTATTTCAGGTTTAATTATATACAAGTGTAACTATTGTGATAACATAAGACTATTGAAATCACTAACATAGAATGAGAAATTATTATTGTAACTTGAGAAAACATGGACCTTATTTGGAAATAAATTTTTTTCTAGTATCAAAAAACTTTTAGATTGTTACAAGGTTACTTATGAATATACTAACGTGGCATGAAAATATTGCTACTGTATCTTGTAAAAATATGAAACCCCACCTGCGAATAGATTATTTTCCATAATTTTAGAAATTAAGCTTTGAAAAGTTCTAATAACACTTATAAATATACTAAAGTGGCTTGAGAATTCACTAACATTAGTCACGATAATTCACCAATGATTTGTCAAATTTCATGCTTGTCAATATATAATTAGCTCCATTTGAAATTCACTAATATGGCATGAGAATATTGGCATTGTGTTTTGTAAAAACATGAAATTCCACTTGAGATATGACTATTTATTAAAAAATAATTTGTCCAAATTGAGATTTACAAATATGACTTAAGAATTCACTAACATGACTTAGAAATTCACTAACGTGGCTTGAGAATTCGTTAACGTTAATCAATATAATTTACTAATGACTTGTCCAATTTCTTGTAAATTTTGGCCAAAAAATACTTAAAATTAATTGCTGTATCTTATACATTGAGCCATAGAAAATACTTAAGTACATAAAGTACATAAAATTTTAATTTATATCATACATATAACCAAAACATAACTTGTGACAGTCTATATCATAGTTGCATAACTTATGAAAATCTATATCACAATTGTCTAATCTATGCATTCAATCTTTTTGGTCCTCTATACTTGGCATTTGAAATAGATGTTATCAGTTGTGAGGCTATTTTATTATGTGAATGAGTCATCAGCCAATACAAAAATTCAAACCTTATTTTACTCAACTGTTCCTACACAGTTAGAGTAAGTCAATCAATAGAGGCATGGTATGATCGCGTCATTCCTATTGCGTAATATTGTTGCACTGTCTAACGTAAATGGTAATATACATGCCGTAATTAGCTCTACATAAAAGAATTTTAAGATAAAATCTGTTAATAATTTATTACTTCACAACTATCCTTCCCATAATTCCAACTATGACAACAACAATTCAGCATCCATATTATATTTTTTTAATATCGGCGTACTTTTCATTATAGAACAGAAAAAAAAATCAGCATTCACGTTATATCTTTCTTTTTTATTCACTCAATTTTGTTCAACAATATCTATCTCAGAAATCATTTATTATATATAAATATATATAATCTATATAATTATCAATAAGATTTCTTTTTTTTTCTTAGCTATAAAAGAGAAACGACGTAAAATATCATTTACAAAGATATAAAAGTTATCTTTTGTCCAAGAAAAAAGAGAAGATATAAAAGATAGAGAAGAGGAAAAATGTTAAACTTCATATTTTCACACAGGAGAGGAAAGAAGATGAAAAGGAAGCAATGAATATAATTACCTATTACTAAGAGGGGGAGAAGATGATGAGCCAGATGATGATCCACTCTAGCAAAGACTATAATTTTTTGCTCAAATTTTTTGCATACATGAGAGCAAATTTTTCGTGCCCAAGACGAACAAAGAACATAAGCATGAGCTAATTTCTTTTAATGTTTAATGGAGAGCAATTTTGTAAAGTTAGGTATGTTTTTTTTATTTCAATTAACTACCATGGTCTTTAATTAAAATTTTAATATTTTATAATTCTTAATTGAGATTGATATCCTTATAGGCTTCTTAATTGTCATTTTCCCTATTTTTAGCTACTCATTTAATAAAAGTAATCAAGTTATTTATTGTCTAGATTCATTAATTGTGAAATGATATCAAGAAGTGGATATGGTTAATTTTTACACTATATTAGTCACTTTCTTAATGAATATGAATTGGCACTTGTTACTTTGAAATTATCACTCACTTCATTTAAAAATATAAAATATTTTTAATTAGATTATATAAACCTTTATATTTTTAAACATCTAACGCCTAGAAAAATGAGGAAGCATGTATTTTTGAAATAATTATGATCATCTTGTAAAGAAATTTCACATCAAATAAGTCTTCAAGAAATTTATAATAATTACTCTATTTATGATTCTCTATTGCCATTTGCATATTTGAGTAAAATTTATTTATTATTCTCTCTAAATGATTTTATTAAGGTTTTAAAATAAGTATATTGCAAGTCTTCTCATTGAATTAGCATCAAAAGAGAAGTTTTCATATTGATAGCAGATTAACATCTTTTTTTAATTGAAGGCCCGGAAACCATGTGGGGACAACAAAATTAAATCAAATCAGAGCTTAACAAGATTCTATATCTTAAAATTAGATCATAACAAATAATATTATAAAAATTATCATGTGATTTCTTCTTCTTAATCATTATCAACTTGATTAACTTTTGTTAATACACTCTGGATTTTCTGCACACTGCAGCACCTAGGACGTTGGGCTTGGAATGAAACGGGTGTTTCAGGCCGGAAAAAGACTGAAACGTACTTATAAAGCGTTCGGCCTTTTCTTAAACAAATATGGTGCTACTTTTTGTGATTAAGCAGTTTGGGGTTTTGACTTTTGACTTTGGTGATCTGATCTGCGTCCAATGGCAATAATAATTGGCTTTCTACTCGATTCAATTCAAAATAAAAATCTTCCATCAATGGAAGCTGACGTGCTTGTGCCGCCAAACCTCACATGTCCCACGGCCTTTGCGTCTCGGTGCTTCCGCCCCTGATTCTTGATCGTAGTGGCTTAGTGAGTTTGTTACTTTCGCATTTCTTTCCTTCTTTTAGTTAAAGTCTCACTTTCTCTCTCTCCTCCTCAATTACCCAACTCACACTCAATAATACAATCGTGGAAACCAAAATCTTGATCCATTTTGAGCTCAACGACACAACAATGAAGGTTCTTTCTCTCTTCCTTTGAGCTCTCATGAATTTGTTTGAACGCTTGTGAGTTGCATTTTTCTTCGTCTTTCTTGTTTCTTATGGTGTTTATTGTGGATCTGATGGACAGGCATTTCAGCTGGAGCTATGGTCGATTTGGCTGTCTGGATTTATCTTGATTGGCCTCTCTCTCTATGCCACTCAAAGGTTACCTTCGCTTAAGGATCAGAGCAGAGCTCCCTACTTAAACCCAAATGCTGTATTAGATTCAAGCAATCTCAACATTACCATATTTACAGCGCCTAAACCTTTCACGGGTTCTACTGGCACCAGGCAGACTCTAGCTGTTCGATCATGGCTCGCTCTATCTCCAAATGTTACAGTTGTCCTATACAGCCAAGACTCGTCCGTTGCCTCTTTCGCCGCCGCTTTTGGTTCCCGCGTTCTAGTTGATACCGACATTGACTTCACGTAAGTAATGCTATGACTCTGTACCCTCCAATATGGAAAAGAATAGTCGTATATGATATACTGATGGATAGCTGAATTGCATTTTTCTGTTTCATGAATGCACAACATTACTTGGGGACACTCACAAGTCGTAATACAGATAATCGGAAGAGATCATGGGTGTTAATTTGTTTGCTCTAGCTGAGAACGAAAACTTATTCTTTACATGGGGGAAAAACACATTTATATTCCTTTTTAATTTCTATCTGTTTTTATTATTCTTGAACCATAGAAAAATGGTTTGAAGATTAAAACTGAACCTAGTTATTAGTGATCAATGCAAGTGGGTGAGTATATTGATGACAATCTCAAGGCACAGTTAAGTTTCAAAAGCCAAATTTGCAAGGGATTATTAACTGGGCGAGACGCAGCCGCAGCATTGAGAAGCAGCGTCAGAAATATCTATTCCGAAATTCAGACAGGTTCTCCCGTCTCTATGTAACAAGCAAACAACAAATAGGGTCAAGTATTTTACAAGCCTTAAAATAAGATATAATGGTTTATTTTTGGCATCAAAACGTGTGAAAATAAGGTAAAGCAATGTTGCTTAATCTGCAGGGCAAGCGCAAAGTTTCTGCCTTCTAATATATGCTTTTTATGTATCCAGCTTCCTTGGCACTCCATTTTTCCATTCCATGATTGCAAAATCACGCTCGTTCATTTCAGACATATATGTTATAGTTGATCCTGAAACCATTATCGTATCTGGATTCATCTCCACCCTAAATTACGCATTTGAACTTGACCATAATTGGCTTCTTGTTGCTTCATCTCGAAATGTTTCTTACTTTCCATTCCACTTGGACAAATCTGGGAAACATTGGCAGTCAGATAATGGGAAACGGGTGCAGATCCAGGAGGTACGAAAGAATTTTCAGGACAAAGCCTGAAAGACTGTTCTGTGATTATTTTGATTGTAGATTAATAAATTTATTCCAAGCTCCAGTTGAAATTAGTGAATATTGTACAACTACTAACATGCCGACATTTGCAATCAACATAATCAATACCTTGTTTTCTCAGATGCAGGAAATACTTAAAAAGAATTGGCAGTGGAATCATTGTGATATGAAAATGCTCATAGCATGGAACAGTAGGGACATGCCCTTATATAATGGAGTTCTTCCTCCTTTCTTATTCGGGAAGGGTGTACATAATAGTTGGATGATCCATGAGGCCCTGTCATCTGACTTCAGATTGGTGCTTGATGCTAGCTTGACCATCACATGTCTCCATCTGAATGGTCAGGATGATTATCATTCTACAATTAGAGATTCTGACGCCTTAGATAATGAAAGCAGAAAATGGGAGTACATGGGCAATTCCCATGTAGGGGCACACTATGGCTCATTCTTTTATAATGAAGCTAATTACTCTGGCCTGCTTAAACTTGTCAGATGCAGTGGTCAATATATTATAATTGACAGACAGAAAAATATGGTCTATACAATTGGACATCGAGGTGCAGTGGGACTGTGGAAGGGGAATATCTTCCATTCTTGGTTACAGAAAAGCACATTAACTTGCATTGCTGACCAGAGATCACTGGCCGGAATATTAGAGTACTCTTTCAAAGATAAGATGTTACTTTCAGCACCTTTGGAGCTTCCGTTCTCCTTAGAATCACTCCTGTCTGTCACTGCAGACAAAAATAAAACAATTGTAGTTACAGTAGCTGGATATAGTTACAAGGACATGCTCATGAGTTGGGTTTGTAGATTGCGTCAGCTCTCCGTTGCAAATTTTTTTGTTTGTGCTCTTGATGAGGAAACCTATCAATTCTCGATCTTGCAGGTAAATTGCAGTTTTCTTGGAAGAACATAATTTGCGCATGTCCTAACTTATTAATGGGGAATTAAGGAATTTCTTAAACATGTTATGTTGTTCTTTTGCACAGAGACCTAGTGAACTGATCATATTGGTTGAAATTATTATTATGAACCTTGAAAATCTAGCTAATAGCCCTCTACAATGCTGCACTAATTCGTAGTACGCCTTGACTTTAAACTGCCTTGATTTTTTCTCTTTCAAGAATTGAGTCACTCTGATTTTTTTCCTTTCAAGAATTGAGTCATACGTTATACCCTACATAAGCCCCTTGGCTATCTATAAAGTAACTGTTAATGCTTATAAGTAATTTGTGCTTTTTGAAATTTATCGAACAGTACGCTCTATGCTAACTGCCAGATTTATGCGTCTGAATTTGATTTTCCTCTTTTCTCCTTCACTTTTATGGCAGGGACTTCCTGTTTTCAGGGATCCTTTAGCTCCAAGCAATATTAGCTTTAATGATTGCCACTTTGGAACAAAGTGCTTTCAGAGGGTGACGAAAGTGAAGTCCAGAATAGTTTTGAAGATACTCAAGCTTGGTTACAATGTACTTCTCAGTGATGTCGATGTGTATTGGTTTAAAAACCCAGTTCCATTGCTGCAATCTTTTGGCCCTGCTGTTCTTGCTGCACAGTCTGATGAATTCAAGAAGGAAGGTCAGCATCCCTCACTTAAAATTCGCATTTTCCTTTTCCTAATTCAGAGAATCAAATATATGTATAAAAATGAGTTGACTAGGTAACATTGTATTACAAGTTTTACTGTAATGAAATTTTCATTCCTTCGGCATATATGATCACAGATATTAAGCAAAGGTGGATTTTTATTCATTTTGCCCCATTTTATGAAGACAATGAACTTTTCTTCAGTTTTTTTTCCCTGTTAAAAGAATAATCCTGCATGTGCAGGACCAATAAACCTACCCAGACGCTTGAACTCAGGCTTCTATTATGCGCATTCTGATAATCAAACAATTGCTGCTATGGAGAAAGTGGTGAAACATGCAGCAACTTCAGGCTTATCTGAGCAGCCGAGCTTTTATGACATGTTATGTGGGGTAGGTGGAATCAAAAGAGCTGGTGATAATAGATGTGTGGAACCTGAAACAAACCTGACTGTATATTTCTTAGACAGAGACCTTTTTCCAAACGGTGCTTACCTAGATCTGTGGCAGAGCAACGATGTCAAAGCAGCCTGTTTGAAGAAGGGATGTGTAGTTATTCATAACAATTGGATCAGTGGGAGGCTGAAGAAGCTGGAGCGTCAAGTCTTGTCAGGTTTATGGGAGTACGATCCCAGCACAAGGATGTGTCTGCAGAGCTGACACAGTATCAAAACTGTGAAGTTAATTTTGAGGAAGAGTGGATGCTTTCTTATTCTCTCTAGACAAAATTTTTGTTCTCACTCTAGGAAGAATGACAAAGAAACCATTTCCTTCCTTCACATACATACGTTTAAGAATGTGCTGAGCTTTGGTTTTATCATTGGTCCCGGGTGGAAATATTAAATTAGTCGCAGGCCGGCCATTGGAAACACGAAGGATCTGCGGTAGCTAAATGTTTAAATAAAATTGACTTTCATCATGCTCAAACCCTACCCAATGTTATCCACCAGCAACTAGTTGAGAATGAAAGATTTGGGTCACACTACATTCAACTGCAGGCTATGCTCAAGCACGTTGCTCACTTGTTAGGCTTGGCGGAGAAAAATGAGAAAGATCCCAGAAAAAAGAACCAACTGAGAGGAACTAAGGCATCCCCAGACTACAGCTTCCAAAAATCGAATAATATTTTTGTGAGGATAGTTCATGCAGGTGGAAAACAAGAGCTGTATCAACATGCAATCCTTGCATCCAAGTTGATGGAAAAATATCCGGGCATGTGTGTTGCCCGGCCAGAAGTCTTCAAAAAGCCTCACCAGTCAGTGTTATGGCCGGAAGAGCGTTTGCTTCCTGGTCAAAAATATATTATAATCTCGTTTCGAGATGTGGGGAAGCTGAAACGTAAACTTTCAGAAGAAGGCAAACCCAGAGAGCCCAATGGGGTGGTTTCAGAGATATTGAAAGTAAATATCACCAAGTCTCCTAATGGACATATTAGAGAAAATGGTAAATCCGAAGTTCCCAATGAGGCAGGACCAGAGAAGTTCGAGGCTAATACTCCCCCGTCGCCTGGTGGACGCAAAATAAAAGAGAACGGCAAAATCAAAGAGGTGTTGGACGCAAACGCAAAACAGTCTCTTGATGGAGGAAATGAAAATGAATCTCTTCGTTCTGCAGAGGACTTACAGGGGTCCTTGGATAAGCCTACAATAAGATATCCAAAACGAAAAGGAATAAAAGGGAAGAAGCCTTTTGTGCCACCTCTTCCGCAGGTAAGACCATATCGGATTCCGGGATGGCAGCCTAGCCTCCCAACTGTGCCAGAGCTCTCCCCATGATTTTTTTATGGTTTTACCTGTACGACTTGGTATTATGATATAGTTCTATCTTTACAAGACTAGAGTCACTAATTTCTTTTGCTTGGTTCTAAACAATTGCTTTTACATCCTATAACAATGTAGAAACATAAAACTTCTTCTAATCTTCTAGATGTATGGATCTTTGTTAGATTCGAAAGATAATATCCGCATTACTTCTCGATTTAATTGTCACCTCTATCCAAGTTTATGTTGGGATGAGGATGTATTGATTTCATATAATATAACTGAAACTCAATAGAGTAAAAAATAAAAATCGGTGTTCTGCACGGTCCTCTCGTCGATTTCTTAAAACGTGCTCTCTGATGGGAAAGTAATAATTGCTACGGAAGCACTGTTTATCTGCTAATCCTCAAAGCTCCGATCTAAACGTCAAGTCGTCAACAAACCTTTAAATGTTAACAGGGCTACCTCTACTCGGATCAAAATCGTCTGAAGTCTACTATCAGAACGTAAGTGAAATTGGGACCATCACAGTCGTCAATTAAATCGTGGCAGAGAATTATGCCACGTAATAATTAAAATACTGTGTTTTAAATGGTAAGAGTGATTTGACAAAATTCTCAGTTTTTCCCTCTGCAAAGTTCACATTCATCTCTTATTTACTGGTTTTATAGCCATTACAATTCCATTCTGATTCAGTTTGAGGTGTGAAGATTTAAAATGAAAATGATTCAACTATTCAACACTAAGTAGGAATACAGGTTATCTCCCAACAAATTTTGTTCTCCAAAAATTTTGAATAATTCACTGTTAAAATGGAGTAAATCTATTTGAAAAATGATTGCAGCAGCAACGATTACGTTTTCGAAAAAGATGTCAGAAAAAAGAAACTTTAAGACATAGTATTTCAATTATTAAATGACATAATTCTCTAGCTGATTTAGTTGACGGCTATGATGTTCCCAACTTCATCAAAATTCAGATAGCAGACTTCAGAGGATCTTAGTCCACTTCTACTACTGAAGATTTTTTTTTATCATTAATCAGAGACTTGGAATAAAGGGTTTTCTTTTTTTTTTTCTTTTTTCGAGGAGGGGGGAGCACTGTTAATTACAAATGGTTGCTCCAAGTGAACCATGGGTTTTCACAATAGACAGGCCTGGATATTCAAACTCCTGAAGTTTGCTACTGTTGATGAACTTTGGTCGGATACATTGTCCTAAAATGCTGCAGGCTGCAGCAAATAGTTTCTTCAATCCGAGAGGAACTGAGCTTGCCAGTCTTAGGTATTGACTAATGATCTGAAACTTGATATGTACCCTTTCCCAACAAATGAGTCATAAGGAGCCTCATCGTTCAGAACACATCTACTGCCCCATTATCCTCTTCTCCAATCTGTGCCACAATACGCCTGCACTTCAAGCGGTCACGCACATAAGCTGTCCTTCATATCTTGGAAGTTACTCTCACAAAATATAAGACAAAAGCTTGGTCAAAATCCAGGTATAGAGCACGCTTAGAAAAGCACCAATAGGAATAGTTACGGCCCATGAAGCCACAATCTCCTTCACAGTTTCTGATCTAACACTGTTAAGACCCCTTGCAAATCCCACCCCCATTACTGCACCAACTAGAGTATGGGTTGCTGAGATGGGCAGCCCTAGCTTTGAAGCAAACAGAACCACAGAGGCAGCAGCAAACTCAGCTGCAAATCCTCTGGTCGGTGTGAGTTCTGTTATTTTCTTTCCTATTGTGGCTATGACTCTATAACCCCACATCATAAGCCCTGCTACAATTCCAAATCCACCCCATGCTAAAACATCGGTCGGAATAACAATCTCAGTTCCTGTGACATTGCCTTGAAGAATAGCCAATGCAGCCGCCAAAGGACCGATGGCATTGGAGACATCATTCCCACCATGAGCAAATGACATGAAGCATGCAGAGAGAACCTGCATGTATCCAAAGACCCCATAAACTATTTTCAGCTGGGTACCCTTTGGACCTGCAACATCAGAGAGAAACCCTATGCTTTTGTGAGCAGTGTCCTCTTCTGGCTCAGGCTGTGGGGTAGTAGTAAGCTTGACCAGTAGATGACCAAGTTGCTTTCTGATGATTCTGTTGACTACAAAAGCACCAGCAGTTCCACAGGCTAAAGCCTGAGCCAGAGCCGTAGGAATGCTCTTGCTGAGAGGGAAGGCCGCAAAAGAAATCCCAGTTACACCCAAAAATACAGCAATTGGTGCTGCAGCAGCGGCTGCTTGTCCTGGATTTTGGGCACTGTATACAAACTGAACGAGATAAAAGGTTAGGGGTTGAAACAGCAAGAATTTAACATATAACATTCAACAACATCATGTTTTAAGAAATTAAAATGAGAATCAAAAAGCAAAACGGTTTACTAAATTCAATGAATGAAAAGACGAAGGTAACATTTTCAAGGGTGTCAGAAAGTTTACAAGCCAAAACCAACTCAGTGATGTATTAGTGTCAACAAGCTGTACTATATCCTGAATATCAAGAGCATACCCTTCGTATACATTTGTAGACAAGAAATGACACGGCTGCTCCCATTATTGGAGAGATAACCCATGAAGAAGTCACCTTTGCCAGGGATCCCCAGAAAACTGCTCCAGATCCTCCATAGGCTAGACCAAATCCCACCATAGCTCCTACAATACAGTGAGTAGTAGACACTGGCCAACCAAAATAAGATGCAACCTGCATAACACAAGACAGTAAAGCCAATGATATTATTGGATTGCTTGCATATCCCAGTAAAAGGTAGTTCCTTGTTCAAGCATTTCAGGGGACCAATATTATCGGTTTGGTAGTCCCATGAATCTCAATGAAGGGGTGCATTTTACAAAATGAATATTCACGCTACTGCAAAGCAAAATTTGTAAAGAAACAATGTCTTCAACCAAATGAGTTCCATGTCTTCATTCTCGTCAATAAACTAAAAGAGAGAGTCATAAGCCATAAAAATGAAGGAAATTTAGATTTCAACGTACATTTTTGACATTGGCTCTCCTTTCATTTGATCATATATCCTTTTAGTGTCTTCTAATAGCAGGAATACAGTTGAGGCAAAACAATATACAAAGAGAAGGCTTGGAGAAATTCCCGATCAAACATGGAAGATCTTCATAGCAAACGCAGGACACATTTAACATATTCCCTCCCCTGGAAAAAGAAAAGTCTCTATTCCTTCTAATTTTTAACTCGTCAAGCATTCAACAAAGAATTATTATTGGGCAGTTGTTGTTCACACCCATGTTCCAATTAACAAGGAGACAAATGTCTTAAAGTGCTATCATGTGTTTATTTGAACTTGCATACTGTGTCGGAAAACTTCTCAGAGAAAATGAAAAAAGGATCCCCACAGAATTTTTTATATACTATTTCTCTCGATATAATCGAAGGAATTATTCAACTTAGCAAAGACGTCTTGTTATTATCTCCCCATTTGTCTTTCCTAAGGATGTTATTTACTCAAATAGCAAAAGTATAACACCAACTCAAGCATAAATAACCACGTTAAACGCCAAAATAAGCATCTAAGAATACTCTCTCTCTCTCTCTCTCTGCATAATATCTTGCATATTGCTTGCTCTCTTTAACCAAACCCCGCCACAAAAATAATATTGATAATAATGTGTAAGATTAAAGGGGAATATGGAGGATATTACATAAATAAGAGCCGCATGTTCCTCAAGCGGTCTTCAAAATTTTAGCAAGATTAGATATTAACATGTGAATCACACACACACACAAACGAAACCAAGGCTGACGAACTAGCCTATGCCTTGATTATCCATACCCAAGTCTCTAGCCAAAAAGGCAACTAAATCAGTAGGTACGCGTGAAAAGAAAGAAATCCCCATCATCATATTCAACCCAAGCTTCGCGAGATAATCACCAGCGGCATTCCTCCTTCGACATGTGAAAATTTTCTTCTAAAGAACAAAGCACGTTTGTTGTATTTTAAATTGATATAGTAAAATTTGAAAGTAAATACAACATTAAATTAAAAAAAACTCGAATAAAATAATCAGTTAGCTATCATATTAAGAAATGCTGTTAGGAATACACCTATGGAAAGCAACACTAATATTTAAATAGATTAGCACAAAAAAAGTGGGCTAGGAAATTGAATCTTCAGCCAGTATTTCAAAATAAAATGAAAACGTTAAGAACAAATTACCAATAAAACTATCAAATAAATTAAAATACGATTTTTAATTGAAATTAAGTGTCAATCAAAATCTTTATTGATATCACTTACTAAAATTCTCAATAAATATTAAATACACAAAAGCAACCAAATATTGTGGCTATGTGCAGCAGAGGTTACCTGTAACCAAGAACCAGCAGCGGCAAGCGAAGAGAGCAATCCAGCTAGGAGAAGGGTGTCTTTCCCTGAAACACGTTAGTCACCAGAATTCCCTTCTGCATCGTGCTGGTCACGTGCGTCCCCATCAACAACGCCCCTGTAAACTCCAGCACTCCCGCCGTCAACACAGCCTGCCGGAGCGTCAGCGCGCCGGATCCCACCGAAGTTCCCATCGCATTCGCCACGTCATTGGCGCCGATATTCCAAGCCATGTAAAACCCAAAGAGAAGGGTAACATAAGATAGCAATTTAGTCCTCAAGGCCAATCCCTGGCCTACGGATTTCATGAAGAAAGGAGAAGCAAGAGCAGCAAATGCTATGCATATCGAGATCCCGTAAGCAGCGCTGGAAGATATGTGGAAGACTTGAGCAATTCCAGGCAAGTGATCGTCGTCTTCGTCGTCGTTCACCTGATGCTGCCCATTGAGCTGAATTTCCTGCTTCTGTTTCTCTTCGCCTTCGGCTTCGGCGAAAGAGGATAGAGTGGCAAATGAGTGTGAGAGTTTGGAGTTGTTAATGCGAAGAAGGGCGAATGACGGCCTTGGCGGTGACAGTAGAGGCTTGAAAGGAAAAGCTGGAGTGTTGTGGCAATTTCGGAGAAGAAAGGGCAGTGGAGGAGCGGTGTGTTTGGAGGAAGAGAGTCTGCAAGAAGGATTCATGTCTCATACAGAGGATTGTGAGATTTGGAATAGAAATAGGAAAGGGGTCAGGGAAGAAGAAGAAGAAGAAGAAGAAGAAGAAGAGAGGAAGGAGGTGGTGGTGAAGAAAGAAAGAGAAGAATGTGGAAGAGAGCATTGTTGATGAGGGTGAAGGAAGTTGAGAGAGGATTTGGCTTGTTGCTCTGCTTAACGGAAATGAGTGGCGATTATGGAGTGCTTGAGGCTTGAGGTTGAGGGACACCCTTGAGAGGAAGATAGACCCACGTATCCATTCCTCAGATTCTTGCTGATCCCCTTCGGCAAAAAAATATAAAAAGAATCTTGAGGTGGATAATCTTGCGTCCATGAAATAAATAGCGCTTTTTCTTGCTCGTTTGAATTTAAATTATATTCTTCTATCTCCTCTGCATTTGATTACACTAATCTTTCCTATAAAAAAAAATTAAAGTAATTTCATGTTTGCTCTTCTTCTTAAGTAAAATTCTATGTTGTTAGTCTTAGTTATGGAGAAAATTATCGCTAATGGATGCAATAAAAAAACTTATGGCTGGTGGAGCTTTTTATAACTATGTAATGAATTTGGGTTGATCTAAATTTGTATGACTTATAGTGACTAATTAGCATGTTAAAAAGGTTTTCTTATTCTCATTTATATTTTTTGAAAACGAAATAAAAATATATATTGATCAAAATATTATTAGTTAGTAGGCAAAATATACCAGCTCGCGCTTTTTAAAAATTCATTTTTATTAGATTTATAACTCTTCACCGCTTGAAATTAACTGATACCTTACATTGATGTTTCATGCAACAACGTTAAATAATTTACTTTATCTACAAAAAAATAAGTATACTAACCATTAAATTTTTCAAAGAACTATTTAATAAAATTTGGATTTCAATTTTAAGTTAAGCTAAGCATATTTTATACTCAAGGAGAAAATTGGCCAAGACAAAAGTGACGTGGCATACAAAGTATTGAAAACCAAAATGTTCATTGGTCGGATCAATGTATTGATTTAATAATCAATTATCAAAAATGTAATTGAATAGTAATTTAACTTATCATAAATAAAATATTTTATAAATATGCTAAAATACTAGTTTAGCAATTTACCAGTTTAACTGGATGGATTGACCCAGACTTCAATACCAAGTGCATACACCATGTTATATGTATGTATGTATAATGAAAATAGACATATATTATCACATTCTACATGGAATTCGTGAAATAAATTGCAATATTTTCCTTGTGATGTATGAAGTAGGAGCATTAGAGCTCTACATATGTATATGTGATATAAATGAGTCATATTTTTTGACATTATAGATTTATAATTGTTATTTTTTATTGATTTGTTGATACTAATTATAATTACCTTTCTTTTGTCTGTGGAAATATTGAGTCATATTCAGAAAAGGCGCATCACGTGCGTACGTGCATCCTCCATATTCGATTATTATCAGATTGGGCCATGGGAGAGATGGGGCCTCCAAAATTCTATATTTGGGCCTGAACTGGGCTTCTCATAAACGACCCAGCTAATATGAATTGATAGGGGTATTTTTGCATTAAATTGAATTTATTGGACCTAGTGACACAAATGATAGTGATATGTGCTCCTTAAACAGCTTGACTTTTGAAGATGTATATGAAAAAGGGTTACTTAAAAAGAGAACAATCACCTAAATAATATTTAGATTTCTTAAGATATCAGTCTCATGACTACGAGTTGTAGGGATACTTTAAAAAACAAAATAAATAAATAAATTGAATTTGTTGGAACCATGAACAACAAAAATAAGGAGCAGTTATTTGGTTGTCGAGAAAATATGAATGAAATAAAAATAAAAATAATTTTTTTTATTTTAGCATAATAAGTTGATTTCACATTCATCTTGGTATTATATTTCCTATAAAAATTTAATGCTAATACAAATGTAAGAATTATCATACTTTTTATAAATTTTTTGAATCATGACTCATAATCTTGTGAATTAAAGTATTCCTTCCCTGCTGGTATATTTTTTTCTCCATGTTTTGATTATTTTAATTTTACTTTTATTTTTTCAACAAATGGCTCTTCAAAATAGTTCATGCTTGTTAGGCAAAATCTTGACCAATTTGTTTTTATTATGCATGTGTATCTTTCTATAAGAGATAATCACAATAAAAGTATTGTCAAATATTAAATGTAAGAATTTCTTTTAATAAGTATTCAAATTTTAATTCGTGGACTGAACTAATTTAAAACAAGGGAGTTTGGAAATTATTGAGAGGGAATATAATATAATGGATGTCGGGAGGGCATAAATTACGTGTTGGAAGGTGGGTAGAAAAGAAAACAAAGACGAGTCGAAATGAAATACAAAAACAAGCAAAGCCTGGGGATGGGGTGCACGTGGTGAGGAATCGAAGTTTGTATGGGGGACTGAGTACATTGTATGGACTATAGAGTAGAGGAGTGAATGTGACGGGGAAGGAAAATGGCAAGTCAAGTGAATTGAGAAGAGAAGTATAATAGTATGTCACCGGAGCGTGAGACGCAGCAGGGAGGGGGTATCATGGAACAACATTCCTCGGCCTTTGTCCCTAGCGGCTGTGTGAAGGCCATGATTCCGTGGCAGTGGTGGCCGCAGCCCACGTCTCAAGTTAGGAAAAGAATATTCTAAGAATATCCCTCTCTTGTGAATTGGAGGATCATACTTAACGCTAGTGGATTTCGTGGCGGCACCGCCTCAATTTCCATCCCACCAGGCCACAACACGTGCCCTCTCCTCACTCTCTTCTTCCTTTCACCACAACTTCCTTTGAAAATAGGAAGAGTGAGAACAAAATACTTTCAAAATATGTTACTGACAAATAGATATTATAAAATGTAATAATTATTTTTTTGTCCCTACAAGCTTGTTTGTAGAATTGTAGGATTGAAAATATAAGTCTGATTGTATGAATTAATTTAAATAATTAATTATAAACGTCGGGTTGGATTGGGTTGAAAAAAATAATGTAAATAAAAATTAGTTTTTTCTTGCTCGTATCATATAACTCATGAATCATATAAGTTAGCCCTAATGGATGAAGGTAGTCCCGTTTAACCCCTATTATTTTTTAAAAAAAATTAAAAATAAAGAAAAGAAAAAAAATCTTGTGGATATAAACTATATTAGGCATGACTTACTTAGTCGAATCAATTTATATATTTTATACAAATATTATAAATTAATATTTTGATATATTTATAATGAATCATGAAAAAATATCAAATTAAAATTTATTATTTAAGTTTATTTTTTAAAAAATTATAAAAATAAATTAAAAAATAAATAAATGGGTTGGGTAGTTAGCTCATTTAACCTGCCAACCCTCAAGAGTTGAGATTTTTTTCAACTCATATAAAAAAAATTAAATCTAATTCAACCCATGTTTATCTCAACTTGTATAGGTCGAGTTGACTCATATTTTCATCTCTGTTTATTTGGTATTTTAGTTTTTTTGTAAGATGACGTGTTTGTCTTTATTTCTTCTCATTTTTACCACCGCTTCATCTTCCTCTCTCTGCCCCCCCCCACCATTTCCAGCCACATCACCACCATCTTGAATCCCACCATTCCTCCATAATTAAACCTAACCACCACGCATTCGAGTTTGTTAGTCGTTACACTTAGTGATGAATCGAGGCCGAAAGCAACAACTAAGGCAAATGGCAACTTTGCATTGTCCTTGCGGGTGTTGTCTTGAACCTAAGCGAGAAAGAGAGAATCAACTTTGAGAGTTCAACTAAAGGGATAAGGGCAAGATATATACACATACTTTTAGAGTTATTTCTATTATGTTGTTTTCTTCATTGAACGTCGTTGAGTGATTTCAACAACAATTGCGTGGAAAAGCCACGATAGATATGGATCCGAGGAGAGCTAAGTCAAAAAAATGGTTGTGACAGCTCAAGTGAGAAAGCATGTGGGAGTTGCAGGGAGCAATGGCCCTCAGCCTCAGCCCACTCAACAATTGTCGTATAAAGAAAATATTGGTCACATTGATGCCGAGAAGTATTTGATCACTCGACTTACTTTCACACTTCTTCAATGCTTGGGTTACTTGGTTTGATTCATTATTTGCTGTCAGTAGAATGTTTGTGTTTCGAAGTGAATTGTCTACTTTATTATTCAAGATGGCGAAGATGTAGTGGGAAATTATGGTGAGAGAGGAAGAGGACAACAGAGAGGATGGAAGTGGCAGTGAGCATGTGAGAGGAAATAGGGGTAAACATGTCATTTTATAAAAAAAAAAGTAAAATACCAAACAAGTTCTCTAAAATTAGAAAATTATTTTCATTTTCTGGTATCTATTTATCATTTACACATTTGAAAAATATTTTATTGTCATTTTTCTTTGAAAATAACTTCACAATTATTGTTGGCCGGTTAAAAACAAAAAACAAAATACTGCTACTGTTGCATATAATCATTACCATTAAATCCGGTGTGTCAAGAGTCCAACACGAGAGGATTCAGGCCACATATTTGTCTCTCAACTCTCAATTTTGGATTTCTTGCCACTAAGAATTTTGATTTGATAATCATATTTAATATAAATATTAAGTGTGCATATCATTTAAATTATTAAAATTTAAATTAATGATTTAAATAAACTCATATATTCATTAATCTTAAATGAAATATAAATTTAAAATTATTAATATAAATTTTAATAATTTAAGTAATACAGATATTTAATATCTATATTAAATACAATTATTAAATCTAAATTTCACGCGGAGCCACCAGCCAAGCGTACTGGTTTTGAAAATCCCTTCAAAACGATAGCCAACTCTTGCCACCCCTATTCTCTCACCTGGTGTTCTATTTTTTGCGGTGGATTTTCTTAAAAACAAGCGATTCAAGTTGAATCGTTCACAACCACTACGACATAAATGTTTGTTTTCTACGGAATATAAACTTTATACTTCATATTACATCCAAGAAAGTATCTTTGGAATGGGGGAGATTTACTCAGCTTTAAAATTATAAAATAAAATACTCCCTCAATCTCGAATTATATAATATTTTTAGATAAAATCTCACATACCAATAAACCTTATAAAATACATTTAACAACTTTATTATTCCAAAATAAAAATATAAACTTTTAAAAATACCTATTATTTAATATATTGAAAAGAGAAAGGACAGAAATTAATCATAGAGGGAGAAAGAATAATATTTAAATTAATGTATTTAATGAAACCTTAATCTGCTTAAA